CGCACGCCTTTGCAGTTCTTAAGTGCACTAAGAGATGCAACTTCAGGTCTGCAAGTGCAGTTGACGTCCCACGCTTTGTCGATGTGCAAGTTTGCAGATCCTTGTAGTTTTTATCCGGGCGGGCAAGCGGGTTAAAAATCTTCTTCAGCACACGCAGAGCCGCAGAAGGTTGTTACATTGATGCGCAAGTGCAAAATGCGAACAAACACTTTAAAAGCACAACATTTTTTGTCTTAAACCTGGGAATCCACCAACTTCCATCGTCTTTTTTCCCCTCATCAGCGTGCGCAACTGCAACATCCAAGACTGACAAGCTTGTTATTCAGTTGCAGGCGCAAAAACCAAAAGCAAGCACACAACAAAAACACAACCACAAAAACCCGCAGCAATCAGCCAAAAAACCAGCGCCACACTTAGTGCTTAAAGTCGAAATCCAGGTGCAATCGCAAAGCATGCAGAAAAGTCCCAAAATGCGAGCGAAGCCCAACGAAGGTCAGCACGGAAAAACTGCAAATCGAAAAAGGACGAAGTTACCGATGGGAGGTGCCAGGCAAAGGGAAGGTACAGGGTGGCCAACTTTCAGAATGGGCAAGGCCAGCCCCATGGTCAGCCAACATTGCATCTCCATCCTGGATTTATTGTCTTATTAGCTGTTTAAATATCAGTATTGATGCGTGTGCTTTTCGTATGGGCTTGGCAGAAAGGGTCGGCACTGCTCATCAGGCATGAAAAGCCTCACCGTCTCCAAGCACGCCACAAGTTCTAATTTCTGCAATGTCTAGCAGGTGACCTCTCTGCGCAACCACAGAAAAAACGTCAAAGCCTCGTTGGCCAACTTCCCAGAGCTTGTACCCTGAGTGTGTGCCATCAGACCAGTGCGGGACTGTTGAAAATCCAGATGAGTGTAAGTCTTCTAAGCATGAAATGTTCTTGGGTGCGCGTCTGAGCTTTGGAAGAAGTTTAGACAATGTCGTCTTTTCCATTGAAGTGCATGTTAAGGTTTAAAGGAGCGTTCACTTGGCTGACGCAACATCATCTTCGAACCTGAGACTTGCTGAAGGCTTCCAAGCCTTGGAGGCCGGTTCGAGGCCTCCAGTTCAACAGGGTGTGATTTTGTTTGCTTGCCCGCTGGGACCGACATCAGCTTGCAATGTCGAAATCTTTAGGATCATCGAGGACTTCTTGAGGCCCGTCGAGAAGTCTGAAGTTAAAGCTTGCGGCAGCAAGAATAGCTTTTGCAGGATCATCTTAAGCGGTCGAGGCCCCTTCGAGGTCCGTCGTGATGTTTTGAATAGAATGAGAATGAAGAGGACTTGGAGCCAGCGGCTTAAAATTCTTTTCACGGGAAAGAAGAGAGACAACCAGGGTTCGTCCGGGCTCGAGGCCTTGCGGGGACCCCTTTAATAGTATTATAAGCCCCGAGGCCTCGTAATCTTTCAAGCTAAAGGGGTTTTGGGATTTTGTGGAGGCCTCGCGAGGCCTCGAAAGGCCTCGAAACCCCATGAGTGAGGCCTCAGGAGGCCTCGGAAGGCCTCGAAACCCCATGAGTGAGGCCTCGGAAGGCCTCGAACCCCGCAGGGTGAGGCCTCAGAGGCCTTGCAATATCGCGTACACATGTTTGCAAAAGTTGCCAGTTTGCGCGAGTCCAAATCTGGGGTCGAGAAATCTCAACAATTCTGGCTTCGCGTGCGTGGGTCTCCCCTGTGCACGTTTCTCTCATGTTGACCAGATCGCTCACTTCCACAAGAAAGCTGCCTGCGGAGGTCGTGGTTCTCAGTTTTCCGCTTTGAACCCTTGTCTGTGGGCCCCGAGTAAAAAGCGCGAGATTGAGCCTAAAAATAGAAGAATTCGCGGCCCCAAAATTGGGGCCGCCAGGCGGACTCAATTTTGGGGTCGCGGTTTCACAACCCCCGTATTTAGTTCCAAGTTGTACTGCAGGAACTCTGGGCCCATTTCGCGGCCCCATTTTTGGGGCCGCGAGACGGCCCCGTTTTTTGGCCCCGAATTTGCGCCCGTGCAACCGGCTCTCGTTGGCTGCGCCCCTGCCCTTGTTCCAGTAACTTTGGGCAGCGTCGTGGTGAGCGCACGGGGGGGCTGGTCCGAAGCAGCAGCGTGCGCGTCTTTATAATGTTGCAGTGAGGCAGAACTGCAACTGTAGCTCTGGCGGGCGTGACAAAGCGGGGGGGGTTGGAGAGGGCGCAGCTCCCCCATTTGCAAACACGATGCTCGCATCAGGCTTCTTAAACTGCTGGCTAAACCTCCACCGAAGGCCCAGCAGGTGTCAAGCTCTCTTGGACTGTTGCCTGGATCCTCCACAGAAGGCCCAGCAAGTATCACGCCTTTTAAACTGCTGCCCGAACCTTCCACAAACGGCCCAGCAAGTATCAGGCCTCTTCAACTGCTGCCTGAACCCTCCGCAGAAGGCCTAGCAAGATTGCGCCTTTTAAACTGTTGCCCAAACCCTCCAAAAAAGGTCCAGCAAGTATTAGGCCTCTTGAACTGCTGCCTAAACTAAACCCTCCGCAGAAGGCCCAGCAAGTATCACGCCTCTTAAATTGCTGCCCAAAGGCAAGTATTAGGCTTTTTAAATTGCTTCCACAGAGGGGGGGCTTGGTTGCGGCTTCAGGAGGGAGCTTTAGGGGGGGCTTTAAGGGAACTTAAAAAGAGGGGCTTAAAGGTCTAAGGGGACTTTCAAGGAGGGCTTAAAGGGGGGCTTAAAGGGGGGCTTAAAGGGAGGGCTTAAAGGGGGCTTTAAAAGGGGCTTAGGGGGGCTCAAGGGGGGCTTAAAGGGGGCTTAAGGGGGGGCTTAAGGAGGTACTTACGTAGCTCCGTCGTCGTTCCCCGCTCCCTGATACTGTAGGCAATAGACAACATGCGGCAGAGGCTCCAGGCAATACCCTTGTGCCTGCAGCTCTGATGAGGTGCCCGCAAGGGTGTTTGAGCAGAATCGGGGCGGCCCTCCCTGTGTCTCCGCAACTGTACTCCGGCGGATGATTTCAAGCTTCCGCCCTTGCAGGCCTTCACTGCCCACGCGGCGTCGAGGCTGCTTGGCGTGGCCATCAGGTCAATTCCCACTTTGCGGCTTTGGCGTTGATATACCTCAGGCAGGGTATGCTCGCGGTACGCATGTTGACTAATTGTCCTGGACACACTGAGCTCAGTGCTGTGCCACAGACTGGCTTTCGCCTTAAGGTACGCATTGCAGTCGATGTGTCCTCTGCGCGCGCAAGCAGCCATTTGAAAGCAGGCGCCTAGGCCTTGGCGGTAGGGCGGCGACATTAGGACCACGGGTCCAAGGCCACGAGTGCACGCGGCCGTGGCCCGGCCTCGTCCTGGAAGAGGAAGCCGGAGGCTTTGCACGTTACGAAAATGAGGACCCCATAAGTAGGGCCGGTGGCGCATGCCGTGGTGATGGCCTCAAAGACGCGCCGCAGGGCAACAACTCGCTTTAGCAAAAAGGTCCTGATCTCGAGCACGTCCCACCGGCACGGATCACCAGAAGGGCAGTCATTGGCTTCTCTACAGGCCTCCAGCAATGTCATCTCCGGGGTGCCCAACTCCTCAGCATGGTGTAAAAGATTGAGATGTGCCTTGATTTGCGTGACAACCTTTTCATACTGGCATGACTGTCAGGGGCGAAGTTTGGAGTAGGATAGCGATGATTTTTTAAATCATGTTGAGCTTCGGATAATCCCCTCAATACTGATGCAATGGAAGACGTCCAAACTCTAACCCGCAGCACCGCGCCGCCCTTTCGCTTGAAGATCATCTCGCCTTGGAATTGATTTGGCAGTACGTCTGGAGACCAAACCAGCGCAGTGGTACATGACAGTACTGGTACTCTATCATCGCTGTTGTTCTATGCTATTGGCGTATTTCAGCACTTTTCCCGCAAGCTCCATGTTTTAGCCCTGTTGCATGTCAATCACCTTCCTGCACATCCTTTCCATGTCACACGGCGATGCCAAGAGCGAGGCACAGGGCCAAACATGCATCCCTGTAAGCATCCCCACAAGGTCCGTTCCACCCACGCCATGGCAGCGGACTCACGTTGCAAGTGTCTGCACAGTTTCGGGCACAGGTGTCTGCTGGTGCTCCTTTGCTTGGGATGTGCAGTCGCAAGCTTCGTGGTGGGCGCTGCTCTTGCCGCAGGATGCCTGGTGGTACTTCCCTTGGGTTATTCCTTGGTGGCTACACTTCATGGGAATTCCCGGTGGGGGTACAAAGCGGTCCTGGGTGGTTTGTGTGCCATAATCTTGGCCTGGCCTTTCCTGACCTGCTTCTGGCTTGGCCCCATGGGCCCGGAGGCTCTTCTGGCGGGAAATTTGGTCTTCCTTGCCTCGGCCATCATGACGGTCTGGGCAGCGGCATGTCGTCTGGAGAGCAGCTTACACAAGTTTGATGAATACTTTCACAAGTTGGAGACGGTCGAGGCGGAGCAGGACCCGATGTGGAAATGGCATCTGCTTGCGGCCCTGGCAGATTGGTACCAGCTGTCTGCACTGGCCTTCAACGTTCCTTCCCTTTTGCTGCCGGTTGCCATGAAAGACCTTCTGAACGCGTTCTTTGCGCTGGGACGGCTCGCCTTGCCCTTGGTGCCTCCTGGAGCTGCACAAGCGGCAGGGTTTCTCTTGGCCGACGCACTCCTGTGCTGCTGCGTGCTGTTTGCAGCAGCCAGGCTTACTGCGCCGATTGCCGTGCCATGCATGGTTGCCATACTTTACAGCCAGGAGGTCCAAAACGATGGAGGGAAGGAATCTATATCTGACGAAGGTGAACAACGCATCGGGAGGAAGATCGAGGAACTTGGGCTCTCTTGGTTGGTGCAAGCGCCTGGCCAAACTCCTGCAGACCTGAAAGTTACGCTTTTGGTGTCCTCAACGCTTGTGGGCTGCACGCAAGCCAACATGCAAGTCTTTGCTTGCAAGCGCGACGATGCGTTCGGTATGGTTTGGCCTGGGGACGAGAATCTTCAATGTTGGACAGGGATACATTCGGCAATGGCTTGGACAGCATGTCTCGTCTTGATCACCGTGCTGCCCATCGGGTTCCTGACAGCAGTGGTTTGTGAAGCCAACGCACAAAAGGAACAAGTCCGCACATCCCGAGTAGCGAGGCCAGCTAGAATTAGCACGCACTGCTGGTTCCTTCTGGTGGAGTGGCCCGTGAAGCTGTTGGTTGTGGCCCTTGCCATTCAAAGCGCAGCCTTTGGCAACATCAGGTTGCGCCTCGTTGCGTTGACGCTGGGCGCGTTCCTGCTGGTGGTCCTCAGCCAGGTGTTATGCGTCACCTCCCACATCGGCCTCAGCCAGCTTCGCCGAGTGGCACTGCTGTCAGCCCTCATCAACAGTGCTTTCTCCTGGCTGACGTACGAGATCTCAGACGAGCGAAATCTGACCAGTACCGGCCTGTTCCTGGCAGGGCACATTGCTCTGGGTATCTACAACTCACATCGCTCGGAGAGGGTGCTGTCCCGCCCTTCCTCGTCTCGGACCGTCCGACGCATCAACAGGCTTCTATTGCTGGTGCACGCGGTGGGGGCGGCCACTGTCCTGGGATTCCTTCCAGATCTCCTGACCATCAACACAGGAGCGCATACGGAGAGAGGAATCTCCATGTCCGGCTTGAACATGTCCATCAGCACGGGCTCTTGCGCCATATTCTTGAAGAGCGTTGACTGCAACTATGGTAGCCATGGCCGACAGTTTGCTGGCGAACCGGCCTGGTTCTCAGGCACTGCCGCACAAGGACAGGTGAAGCTTTGGACGCACGGGGCAGCTGACGTGAGACCCGGCCGCGTATCAACATCCGCTACGCTCATGGAAGCTTGCGAGCTCTGGCTGCTCATGCTACCAAACAGCACGGTTGACATTGAATGCAATGGTTCATGTGCATTACACGCACAAGGCAGTTTCGTCGGGTCCTGAGATTTGCGGGTCGCACACGCCTAGCTGGCTTGTTGTTTCGACGTCAGTTTCCCACAGTAGTTTGATTCCGTGCTGTGTGTGTGGAAGCTCCCGGTGCATGTTGTAATTCTTCGTTGAGTGTGGTTCTTCTTGCGATTTGGCACCTCGCATGTTTGTATGGGCTTTTCTGTCATTTTCCGTCCAGTTTTGCTTGCTCGCCTGTTGCACTTGTTGCATCGCCACCACCCAATGTGAAAACAAAAATACCTTGCGCCGTCTCAGGCAAGATTGGATGTGATCGCCGGTGGTCACATGGATGCAGTGATCAACGTGAGCATTACAGACAACTTCAACTTCTCAACTTCGATGGGTGACCTCTGGTTGAACCTTTGTCTGGGCAGCTCGGAATTGACTGAGCTTCCTTCCGTTAGCATCAAGCTGCTTGATGGGGATGCTGATGTTTCCCTGGACGCTCCGCACAGTCTGCAGGTGCAGGCGAATGCGCTGTCCCACTGCGGAATGCAAGCCTCCGACTTAAACAGCACGGAAGGCCTGATGCAGCTGTACATCAGAGGCAAGTTGAGCCTTCGGAATGCATCTGCACTTAGCCCTTCAGAGAATGGGCCCATCTTGCTGCACAACGAGACCGTGACAGCTCTGGAGACAGCCGCCGAGGAGTACAGTTTTGTTGTTGTGCTGGGCAGCATGCAGCGGATGCACTTCATCAAGCCGGCGCTGGCCGAGCGCTTCGTCCTGGTGCCTTCGAGCAGGTTCTTAGGTGCTTTGCCAAGATGCTGGAACTGTTGCTAGTGACTGCTAGTGCCCGTGTTTGTGAGGTTTTTTGCTCGTGTTTCAGACCTGTTCTGTGCTCTGAGATGAGTTCCATTCTTCTGCAGGTATTCCCCCATGGCTGATGTCTATGGCTTCTCTTGGCTTGTTTCCCGGTCCACCGGCGCAGATCTCCATACAAACATATAGCTGCGAAGGTGGAGCTGGAGGTGCGGCGAGAACGGCCGAGGCTGTCACGAACATCATTGCATCTAGACCGGTGTTGCGGCTTTCTGAGTTGGGCGTAGCAAGCCTGACAGATGTCAGCTGGGATCGTTATGACGGTAAGGGGTTTACGCAACAGCACTTAGATGCCACCGCCCTTACTCTTGTATCGTGCTTGACAGCATGCCTGGGCATCCTGTCTGCCGCCGCAACTTCTTGGGTGCTGATCCGTTTGCAGCGGAAGATGCGGCCATCAGTGATGTGCAGCTTGCAGAATCTAGCTCGGAGAAGGATGGCGGCAATCCCGAAATCGATCTCCATGCAAGTGCTTGTTGCAACACTGCACACCGTGCGCGATTCTTCGATTACAAGACTGCTTGCATTGAAGACTCACGAGCCGCACTTTCTGGTTGTGGAGCTCGGCAGGGCTCTCAGACGAGAGAAAAAGTTCGGCGTGCAAGCCTCGGAGGTGCAAATGACGACGGAAATGGACGCCTGGCATGTGCCAAGAGCACTAGTGGCTCAGGCATTGGGCAGGTTGGGTGCAACAACGGCGGCTGCAGTGGCAGACCTGCAGATGGCGCTTACAGACGCGGACTGGCATGTGCGACTCACAGCGGCGCAGGCATTGGGTGGATTGGGTGCAGCAGCAGCTCCCGCAGTGGGAGACTTGGCGCACACGTCGTTGAGAGACGAGAACTGGCACGTGAGAAAAGCAGCGGCTGAGGCATTGGGCAGGTTGGGAGTAGCAGCAGCGCCCGCAGTGGGAGAGTTGCAGATGGCGCTGAGAGACGAGGATTGGCACGTGCGAAGAGCAGCGGGTGAGGCGTTGGCCGGGTTGGGTGCAGCAGCAGCACCTGCCGTGGGAGACTTGCAGACGGCGCTGAGAGACGAGGACGGGCACGTGCGAAGAGCAGCGGCTGAGGCATTGGGCAGGTTGGGTGCCACCGCACCCGCAGTGGGAGAGTTGAAGATGGCGCTGAAGGACGACGACGTCGACGTGCGAAGAGCAGCAGCCAAGGCACTGGACGGCTTGGGCTTAAAAGCAGCGCCTGCAGTGGGAAATTTGCTGATGGCACTGAGAGACGAGGATGGGGACGTGCGAAGAGCAGCGGCTGAGGCATTAGGTGGGGTGGGTACGGCAGCAGTGCCCGCAATGGGAGACTTGGTGCTGATGGCGCTGAACGACAAGGATAGGGAAGTGCAAAGAGCAGCGGCTGAGGCGTTGGGCGGGTTGGGTACAGCAGCAGCGCCCTCAGTGGGAGATTTGCAAATGGCACTGAGAGACGAGGACTGGCACATGCGAAGAGCAGCGGCTGAGGCGCTTGGCGGGGTGGGTGCTGCAGCAGCACCTTCAATGGGAGACTTGGTGCTCACGGCGCTCAACGACAAGAATATGGACGTGCAACGAGCAGCGGCTAAGGCACTGGCCGGGTTGGGTGAAGCCGCAGCAATCGCAGTGCGAGACCTGCAGATGGCGCTGGGAGACGAGGATAGGGACGTGCGAAGAGCAGCGGCTGAGGCACTGGCCGGGTTGGGTGCAGCCGCAGTGCCCGCAGTACGAGACCTGCAGACGGCGCTTAGAGACGAGGACAAGCACGTGCGAAGAGCAGCGGCTGAGGCATTGGGCGGCTTGGGTGCGGCAGCAGCGCCTGCTGTGGGAGACTTGCAAAAAGTGCTGAGAGACGAGGCTGAGGACTGTCACGTGCGAACCGCAGCGGCTGAGGCAATCGGCGGGTTGGGTGCAGCAGCTGCGCCCGCAATGGGAGACCTTGCCATGGCGCTGAGAGACCAGGACTGTCATGTGCGAAGAGCAGCGGCTGAGGCCTTGGGTGGGTTGGGTGCAGCAGCAGTGCCCGAAGCGGGAGACCTGCAGGCGGCGCTGACCCGCGTCTGGGGAAACGTCCATGACTGCATAGCCACTGGAGACACGTATCCTGTTGCAGCGCTCGGCCGCGCTGCGATTCTGAGGGCCAGCGAGGTTTCTTTGGAGCACCAGCCAACTTTACCAGACTTTGTGATTAGCTTACAGGAGCTCTTGGCGCTGGGCACAGGTGGGCCAATGGTTGCGGAAATGGTGTGGGAGTGGCGATTGTTGTTTATCAAGCACTCTCCGTGGACCCTGGTCTCCGCTGCAGTCGCATATGTCGTCGCCTCCACGGGGACTTCTTTGGCAGAGCTGCTGGCCCAGCCGCACTGCATCGTCCGATCGGACAACGACAGCCACCAGGGCTGCAAACTCTGGACGTGGAAGCTGCCATGGCGCCTTGGGGAGCATCACAGCTGGGAGTCCTGGCGAGATTGGCGGAAGTGGTGGCTGGCAGCGCACCTGGTCAAGTGCTTCGGTTTGCGCTCCGTGGAGGATCTGCGCCAGTGGCTGGCGGCCTTCCGAAAGCAAGAGACCTACGTTCAGGTGCTACAAGCAGAGGACGTCGAGCGCCTCCGAGTCGCTGCCCAGCTGTACCACTACGCCACGCGCCTGGAGACCGTGCAGAAGCCGGATCTCTTCGACCCGGCCGTGCTGGCTGTCTTCCGATGCCGGGGCATCACCGTCTTGCCAGCGAAGTCAAGCGACGGACAGCCATCTCAAGGTCTGCAGTTCGTGTCCTCAGACTTGCTCCGTCCAACTTTGGTGAATGTGGATGCCATGGAAGAGGCGGCTGTCCGCGCGCTTGACGTAACGTCCTACGGGACATCTCCGCCGGTTCCCGTTCTTCGGCCGGGCTGGCTGCTCATCGATGCAGTCGCCGTGTCGCTGCACCTCGTCCTGCTTGTGCTGATGGCCTTCTACCCCTTGGCGCTGCTCTGCATCTCCGAGGTCTCTGCTGTGCCGTTCCTGGGCCGCTCCCCCGTGGACGGCCTCACCCTGACCCACTTCGGCCCGCGCTTCCCGCAGCTGTCCAGCGTGCTGCTGAGCACCAGCCCGGCACCTCGCCCGTATTTCCGGCACGTCAAGTGTGCGAAGTGCAAGTAGCCATACACCTTTTTAGAACAGCCATAGCTGTTGCGTCCTCGCAGGTGCTCACCGTGAGTTGCTCAGCTTGGGCCGTGCTCCTCTTCGGCTCCATTGTGCACACTTACTGGAGCGAGAAGCTGCCGTTTACAGTCGTCTCTGTTTGTGCAGACTTGGTACAGGCCGGCAAGGCAGGCAGCGCGGAGAAACGCAGAGCTCGAAGGGGCTGCGTGCGCGAAGCCCTCGAAGGCCTCAACCTTCTCATGAAGGCTACGGCCTGGTTGGGATTCCTGCAGCTCTACGTTGCCCTGTGGGTTTGCTTGGTCACGGCAGCGTGCTGGCTGATGTTTGGAATGGTGGTGAAGCCGAAGCGTTTCGTGCCGATGGCGTCTGCTTTCTTCAGCTTCATGATCGGCATTGGGGCCCGCGTCATGTCCTTTCGGCGGTGGAGACAGGCTTTCACGGAAGAGGTGGAGAAGTTGGCTGCGGCGTGCTTGAAGCCGGTGTGGGCTTGCTTGGCGAAGCGAGTTTGCCTAGGCAGATCAAGTTCCCCCGTCGCCTCTCCCTCAGCTTCATTGAATTCAGGAATGAGTTCAGATGTTAGGGGGAGTTCGGTCGGACATGTAGATGTCATGCAACTCACTGAGGTCTCCGGCAGCTTCGAGCGCATCCTGCAGGGTACCTGCAGCGACGCGGACATCTTCCAGGTGCTCGCCGCGGGCGGAGAATGCGTTTCGCTGCAGATGGTTTTCAGGCGGGGCTGGGGGTGTGGAGCTTTTCGGCGTATTGCTGAGCGTAGTTGTAGGTTTGTTGTTGCCAGCCGTGTGGAGGTTCTTTGATCCTCTCGTGAACCGCGAGACGATGCGCCTAATGGTGGAACACCTGCCAGACGCTGTGACGGAACAGCTCAGCCTGCCGAGTTTTCTAAAGCTGCTGGAGAACCTCTGCTGCAATCTTTTGAGTCAGTTTAGATTGTCATTGGGCTCAGTGCGCATGATTCCGTCCTTGTACAAGCAGTGCTGCGCTGAGGCTTGTGCGCGAGCACCTGCTTCTGTCCATTCTACGAGCATTTGGTTTGAACCAAGAGAACTTGATCAGGCGCTTCAAGGCCAGGACATCTATGTGCCTGCTGAGATGCGATTGTAACAGCTTGTCGGAGAGAGTTCGCGATACCCATGCATGAAAAGGTGAACGCTCCCCAAAACTTCGGCAGCCCCGGTGTGAGGGCGTCGCTCTCGAGGGAGAATCACACTTGTGCGAGGTCTTTGTGCTACCCATGTTCGTCATTGTTTTCGCGATCCTCCTGCTCCTAGCGGACCTTTATCCCGTCCAGGCAGCTTCGGTTTGAGTTGCAGTCGGCTCAATGGAGTAGCCGATGCGTTTTGTTGGGTTGAGGGGGCCCAACGGTTCTTGGGATCTTGATGCATTGGCCATCTCGAGAATATTCACCTGCTAGAGCTGAGTGATTGAAGGGTTATTGTTTGCGATTGTTCAAGTGTCTTGGCAAAGAATGGAGTTTTGCAATTCAAGGTATGCATCTAGCCAATTTTGGACTCATCATAGTCTGCTACAGTTCACGAATGCCTGTTCTTGGATTGCAAATCTTGTGAGCCTTTTTGTGCAGGGCTTGGCGGACACCGTCGTCAGCGGCGTCATCCCGGTGATCCTAGCACTTCTGCTGCAGAAGCCAGGACCGTAAGGAAATAGACTATTGTACTCGTACCGCTACGGATGCCCATGTGCTTGCTGAGTTTGCGAGAGTTTGTGAGAGCGGACGAACGGGAGGCGTGATCAGAAGCCGAGCCACATAGTGCCCAAACCGGGAAAAGGGTCCCGAGCAGTCAATGTAGAAGCTAGATGCCGCAGTTTGCACATCGCACATGAGCGGTGATCTAAAGGTCCTTGTGTTGTGTTCTTTCTGCAAAAAAATCTCTTACCTAACCCAGGCCCCGTCTTGCATTGCCAACAGCTTCCAGGCTCTTACTTTCCTGCTCTCGAAGGCACTGAATCCTAAAGCTCCGTGCAAAAATGGAGTTGAGGTTACGGAGGGTTCAGCATCTTGAAACCCCATGCAACCCCAACATCCAGCCCCAGGTCTTGTTCATGTTCAGCGCCGCTTAAGCGCGTTCACCCAGAGTTTCGGCCTCAAGCGCCGGAAGCACACGTCTCAGGGCTGGACATCTCGTGAAAGATCCGCGTAAGTTCGGCTTCAGCCGCCCGTTAGACGAAGCAGCAGTTCCAAGAACAACACTCAACTGAGGCGATTGTTGGCCTGCGCGTCAACAAGCTTCCATGGGCAGCACTGACCCTAAATCCCAAAGCCAATTTGGTTTGCCTCCTTGAGAATTGGGAAAATAACAGAACCTGCACCGCGATGGGTCCGCGAAAGTTCGGCGAAAGTTAACTTTGTTTCCGCGAAGAAGCTTCTTTATGGATGAAAAAATATGCATCAGCGATCAGATACCTCCAGTACCCCAGATCGCCAGGTGCGTAGATTGCTTCGTCCTTGCCCCCTTGCAGCCGCAAATGCGGGAGGTCAAGCCGCCTTGCCAGTCAAACCCACAAATGTCACGAGTTTTTTATTGCTGGAGGACAGCCCCAGATACCCGCTGACCTCAAGGCAGAGATCCAGGAGTGTCTTGATGGATTCGCCAGTGGCTCCCAGGCAACTTGGTGACTTCAATGCTTAAATTTGGAGTTGGGCCCGTGTGCTCTCTCTCTCTCTTTCTTTCTTTCTCTCTCTCTCTCTCTCTCTCTCTCTCTCTCTCTGAGCCGTCAGAGTCCCGAGGCAACCCTGCAGTGGATGCGTGGCGTCAAAGACCAGTGGATAGAGGGGATGGAAGGCAGTCTCGATGCCAAGTTGATCCAGGCGCGGTTGGGTGAACCCAGTCTGTTGACAGCCGTAACCTCTGGTGTTTTTGAATGTGGGTCAGCTCATGTGCGAGGCCTTGAAGGAGATAGATGCCTTCACCATCGTGAGGGTCATTACCGACCCACGATTTCGTGAGTTGCTTCTTGCCATAGAAGCTGCATTTTGCCGCGCATCCCGCGAAGAGCGCTTGGAAGTGTCGCGCAGCTTGGCATCGCAAGTGGGCTTGGTCGGAGTGAGGCGAGCCCTGTTTTCAGGAAGGCAGTAGTCGGCGAATAAGATGCAGAATGTCATCATAGCAATGTTCAGTCCGATGTATCCAAGGCATCAGCAGCTTCTTGATGATGCTTGAGCAAAGCGATGAGCTGCTTACAGATCTGGCGCCCAATCTCCACGTGGCGTTGCAACAGCAAGTTCGACATGCCGCTAAACAGCTGGCCCGCGCTACCTGCGAGCCGTTCATGGACGCTGGAGTGTGGGAGGCAGTGGAACCTTCCCTCGACAACGCGGAGCTGGACTTTCAGAAGATGCTCAGAATCGCACAGGCACTCCGCCAGCCAGCTTTCTGGGAGGCTCGGGGGTGGAGAGCTGCTGGGTGGATCATTGCGCCTACCTTATTACTTATCCTACCTTGCGAGTTTGCCCGAGTCGGACCCAGCAGGTGTTGGAGCGCTGGAAACTGAAGCAAGGCTTGAAGGACTTCGAGCGCCGCTTGGCTCCCGCAAGATTGCTCAGAGTGTCTTTGCTTGGCGACAACAGAGGCATCATGTTCGAGAATCACTTCGCACTTCATGCATGTTGTTTGTTATGAGGTCAGACGGTTTAGTTGCAGGGGAAGCCAACATCACCCGCAGCTCGGCGGCTGAGGCGTTCAGGCGATCGTTGAGGTTCTGCTAGCCGTCCACGAGCAAGTGGCAGATCTGGTGCCGGACCTCGCCTTGAGCTTGCGGCGGAGGGTGCAAAGCAGCATTCGGGAGCTGGCTTGCTCCGCCTGCCAGCCCTTGGGTGCAGACGTTTGCGCGGAAGTTCGGTCACTGCTTGACACAGATCTCGACCCGCGGAAGCTGTGCAGAGCTTTCCAAGCGCTGACCCAACTCCGACAGCTCCTGCAGGACTGACGGACAAGAGTACCAGTCTGAGCTCTCATGTGTCCCTTGCCATCCCTTGCAGGAGGTCGAGAAAAAACAGTCGAGCCTGCAAGGACACTTGCCAGGGTCGGGTCGCCACGCCCGTGTTAATGTGTTCTGCAATTTGCTGAAGAGTAGTCAGTCTGTCCTGTTGGACAAAGCCTTGGACGTGCGAAGTTGAGGATGCAGAGAGCTTGTGAAGATGCTTGTGGACGTCCAGCAGATGCTGGCGGATCTGGCGCCCAATCTTGTCTTGGCAATGAAGCAGCAAGCAGTTGGAGGCATCCGGCAGGTGGCCTGTGCAGCCTGCGCTCCATTGGGGCCCGAAGTGTTGAAGGGAATTCAGTCGCTCTTCGAGCACGCGGACGTGCAGAAGCTTCAGCGAGTGATGCAAGCACTCTGCCAACCGAAGCTTCGACGCCTTCTGCAGGTGTGCTGGGACAGCCGTGAAGTCGCAGTAGCCAACGCTCAGTAAGTGTGATTCGGCATTGCCAGACCCTGCATACCCTGCAGGAGGTGAAGCAGTCCGACAGGAAGCTGCAGCCAGTGCTTCGCTTGCTTTCGTCGTGCAGGGAATTGCTGCTGGACCTGTCGCCGGGCCTTCTGTGCGCCGTTCAGCGCAAGGCTGCAGCAATTTAGTTTCGAATCGTGTCCGTGCAATATCTTGTCTCATAAGAAAGAGGTTCACATGAAGAATGCCCCCTGGCAAGGCCCTCAGACTGGCTTTGCCCCTGCTGGGCTTCAGTTCCCGCGACGTGGAGAGCTGCTTGGTGGAGGACGAGGCGGCGATGCTCTCTCAGGTGGGGGATGGTACGGAGCTGTTCGGACTGAAAAGTGCACGTTGTCCTTGCCAAGGTCTCCAGGCTCATGGCGGGGACGTTGCGGCCGAAGCTGAAGAATCTGCTGCCAGCGGGCGTTCCGTGGGAGGAGGTGATGAAGGCAGGCAATCCAGCATTCTACAGCACAGCGGAGCCAGAAACCGGAGTACCTGGTTGGCAGGAGCTGGAGCCCCCAGACGTGGAGGCGCTCTTCACCGCCCTGAGGAGTCCGCGCAGCTTCAAGCAGGCCCTTCCCCCCGCAACCAGTCCAGTTCGCGCCAGCTCGCACTTGCCCAACCGTACAAGCCCTACAGCGTAAGCCGTTCAGCCGCCTCCTTCCTCCTCTGCTTCCAGGAGTTCCAGAAGCAGCTGGAAGACGCGCTCCGCGCAGCGCTCATCCGAGCCTTGCGCCCGCTGGTGGAAGGAGAGCTGGCCGCGTCGAAGGCCCTTCCTGTTGCGTGCTGTTGCGTGCTGTACCTGGCAGGGACTGCGTGTGGCTCTCTCCCCCCCCCCAAACAAAAAAAAACAGACGGTGCATCTCTTGCTCAATGCAAGGAAGCGGCCTTGACCTGGGAGATCGTGGAGTTCGTCCTGCAGCGTCTTCGCATCGAGGAGCTTCGGGCCGCCTTCCAGGACCTGGGGCCAAGGGGGCAACTTTGCCTTCTGCAGGTTTTGCGTGCTCAGGAGGGGAGGGGTGGGTTGCCTCTCTGTCTGCAGCAGGAGCCGTGCGAGTTTGTCTCCGACTTGCTTTTTGGAGCCGCCGACCACGCGAAGCTCCTGGCGCTGGCCCAGCTCGAGCCATTGCTCGAGGACCAGCTGCCGGGGGGCATTGCCTGGCTGGAGGCTTGGGACGCTCGGTCGCTCTCGTAATGGGGAGGAAGGGCGTAAGGCTAGAGATGGGCGGGAGGGGTGATGTGGGGTGGTCCGGTGGTCCTGAAAGCGTGAAAAAGGTGGAGAGCTGTGTGGCCAAGATGGAACTCCAGCACCTGGACCTGAAGCACCTCGACCCTGAGCACTTCTTGAAGGACCTGGCCAAGTCCTACGCTCCCTTGGCAAAGCGCCTGGCGCTCGCCACATCCTGGCCGGTGCTGAAGGGTTTCCTGCCAGCTGCCGTCCAGCGTGAAGACGCCGAAGCCGCCCTGCGGCAACTCAGCCATGCGAACCTGGAGAAGTTGGCCAAAGATCCCAAGCGGGTCCTGCAATCCACCTTGGAGAGCGGGCCTCTTGCGACGAAGTTCGTAGTTGCCTGGGGCATGGCGCAGGTTCGCAGCACCCTGGAACCTTCACTGCCTCCCGGAGTTCTCTGGGCGGACATGGAGTTTGTCTTCCAGGGCATAAAGGGCGTGAAGTTGGCAGACATCAAGGCCGCCGCCAGAGATCCGGAGGGCTTGCGGCTCAGTTGTGTGCTTTAGCTTGGCAGTTCTTCCTCCGATGGGCTGTGTGAATTGTCTGACAAGTGTGCCAGAGTCGCTGAGGTTTTTTGGAGTCGCTGGATGGCGAGGCAGGGCGGCGCTGGCTGCTCACGAAGCTTCGGCCCCATCTGGAGCCGCTTCTTGTCGGGCTTGCTGGGCCGGTGCGCTGGGAAGACGTGAAGAGCACCCTCCTCTACGTCGACGCGGGCGCACTCCGAGAGGCCATCGAGGACCCGCAGGCTTTTGTGACAGCAATGGCGCAGAAGACAGGCCGGATCAGCTCAAATACTAGGAGAGCTCGACAAAGGGGAGCACATTTGTTCTTGTCAGCAGCAGGCTGGTCTTTGTAGCACGACAGCGCATGAGTGTAGGCATCGTGTGGATTTGCAAAATCCTTTTGCTGTTTGTACAAGTTTGTACTTTTGCTCCGCGTTTTGCTCCGCGTGGTACGAAACACGAAACCCTGTCAGCCTTTCCTGCGATTAGTTAGGTTCACTCCAAATATCAAAAGGAAGTCTCGCTGCCAGGCCGCTCAGCCGTGGCCTGGTGCGTGGCACAGCTGAAGCCAGTCCTGGCGCCGCATTTGCCCGAAGACGTTGCATGGGGCGAGGCCGCTCGACTTGAATGAGCATGGAGCGCAGACGATCTAGAAATATCTAGAAGCTAGCATATTGGAACTGTGCCAAACACACAAGAGAGCGTCGACAGCATCGCCAAGCAGGTCGTGGCACACCTGAGTTCGGTGCAGCTGGAGCACCTGCGCACGGCCCTTGAAGAGCCCACTGAGCTGTTGAACCTGCTTGCCTCGCACGAAGCCTTCGCTTTCAAGTTTGCCGTGGCTGCCCTGCAGCCAAATCTTGAACAGTGGCTTCCGGAGCAAGTGCAGTGGGAGGATGTACGAGCGACTCTGCAGCTCTTGAGCGTTGAGGATTTGAAGCAGCTGGCCAAAGAGCCAGATCCACTCGAGTTCTTGCAGTCGCTCGCGAAGAGTGGCGGGCCCGTCGCTCTGAAGTGGGTCCTGGCGCAGATTCGAAGCGACGTGGAGCCTTTACTGCCGGTCGGCGTCGCGTGGTCCGACATGGAGGCGATCTTTCAGGAGATGGAGCTGGCGGACGTCGAAGCGGCCGCAAGTGACCCACAGCGTGCCGGGCTTAGCTGCCTTCGTGGCAGGTGCCTCCGAAGTGAACCGCCTGGCCTGTTTGGCAGTCTGCTTGAGTGTGCCGCTGATGCTCAGGCTTCTTGTCTGAGCTCGGTGAGACGACAGGCTGGGCTGAAGTTGACCGCTGTCATACGTATTCCAAGTAGGGTCAGTAGGACTCACAGTCCGGACATGTGAAGGGATGTCCAGACTACTTGTTCCCGGTCTGATGGTCCAGCCGCGAGTCCTGGCCATGCCGTGCGTCACGGGCCGTAATGTCCGTAAGTTGCAGCATCACAGCGCCCGCTTCAAGATTGCGAAGCCATGCCCCAACAAAGGCAGAAGCCTGCCCCCATTTGCCCCGCTACCAGTAGAGATAGTAGAGGCCATCTGCACCAGTCACGCCCTTCCAAGCTCTGTGACAGCACTCAGAAGGAAGCTGAAAGCATCTGAAAGCACATGCCAGAATTAGAGCCCTTGGTCCCGAGGTCGGACGTGTGTCCGATTGTCCACGCTGTTGTTGGCGAGTCCACGCAAGATCTTACCAGATCATCCCATATCATCCAGATCATCCCAGGTCATCCCAGGTCCAGGTCATCCCAGGTCATAGACTCATAGATCCGTAAGGCGAATAGAACTGCATGAGCGCCAAGACAAGCGACCAGTTCACAGAATTCAGGTTTGCGTTAGCTCCGCCAGCCTCCTAGACCATCCTGCTTGAAGCGTTCGTGAAGACAGCGCTTTGCAGCTTGAACGGTTGCGGGTGTCGGTTGCGGCAGCGAGGTAGTCAGCCAGAGGGCAATTGGAGGTTTCAGCGGTCTGCTTCCAGGCCGCTCAGCCGTGGCCTGGTGCGTGGCACAGCTGAAGCCAGTCCTGGCGCCGCATTTGCCCGAAGACGTTGCATGGGGCGAGGCCGCTCGACTTGAATGAGCATGGAGCGCAGACGATCTAGAAATATCTAGAAGCTAACATATTGGAACTGTGCCAAACACACAAGAGAGCGTCGACAGCATCGCCAAGCAGGTCGTGGCACACCTGAGTTCGGTGCAGCTGGAGCACCTGCGCACGGCCCTTGAAGAGCCCACTGAGCTGTTGAACCTGCTTGCCTCGCACGAAGCCTTCGCTTTCAAGTTTGCCGTGGCTGCCCTGCAGCCAAATCTTGAACAGTGGCTTCCGGAGCAAGTGCAGTGGGAGGATGTACGAGCGACTCTGCAGCTCTTGAGCGTTGAGGATTTGAAGCAGCTGGCCAAAGAGCCAGATCCACTCGAGTTCTTGCAGTCGCTCGCGAAGAGTGGCGGGCCCGTCGCTCTGAAGTGGGTCCTGGCGCAGATTCGAAGCGACGTGGAGCCTTTACTGCCGGTCGGCGTCGCGTGGTCCGACATGGAGGCGATCTTTCAGGAGATGGAGCTGGCGGACGTCGAAGCGGCCGCAAGTGACCCACAGCGTGCCGGGCTTAGCTGCCTTCGTGGCAGGTGCCTCCGAAGTGAACCGCCTGGCCTGTTTGGCAGTCTGCTTGAGTGTGCCGCTGATGCTCAGGCTTCTTGTCTGAGCTCGGTGAGACGACAGGCTGGGCTGAAGTTGACCGCTGTCATACGTATTCCAAGTAGGGTCAGTAGGACTCACAGTCCGGACATGTGAAGGGATGTCCAGACTACTTGTTCCCGGTCTGATGGTCCAGCCGCGAGTCCTGGCCATGCCGTGCGTCACGGGCCGTAATGTCCGTAAGTTGCAGCATCACAGCGCCCGCTTCAAGATTGCGAAGCCATGCCCCAACAAAGGCAGAAGCCTGCCCCCATTTGCCCCGCTACCAGTAGAGATAGTAGAGGCCATCTGCACCAGTCACGCCCTTCCAAGCTCTGTGACAGCACTCAGAAGGAAGCTGAAAGCATCTGAAAGCACATGCCAGAATTAGAGCCCTTGGTCCCGAGGTCGGACGTGTGTCCGATTGTCCACGCTGTTGTTGGCGAGTCCACGCAAGATCTTACCAGATCATCCCATATCATCCAGATCATCCCAGGTCATCCCAGGTCCAGGTCATCCCAGGTCATAGACTCATAGATCCGTAAGGCGAATAGAACTGCATGAGCGCCAAGACAAGCGACCAGTTCACAGAATTCAGGTTTGCGTTAGCTCCGCCAGCCTCCTAGACCATCCTGCTTGAAGCGTTCGTGAAGACAGCGCTTTGCAGCTTGAACGGTTGCGGGTGTCGGTTGCGGCAGCGAGGTAGTCAGCCAGAGGGCAATTGGAGGTTTCAGCGGTCTGCTTCCAGGCCGCTCAGCCGTGGCCTGGTGCGTGGCACAGCTGAAGCCAGTCCTGGCGCCGCATTTGCCCGAAGACGTTGCATGGGGCGAGGCCGCTCGACTTGAATGAGCATGGAGCGCAGACGATCTAGAAATATCTAGAAGCTAGCATATTGGAACTGTGCCAAACACACAAGAGAGCGTCGACAGCATCGCCAAGCAGGTCGTGGCACACCTGAGTTCGGTGCAGCTGGAGCACCTGCGCACGGCCCTTGAAGAGCCCACTGAGCTGTTGAACCTGCTTGCCTCGCACGAAGCCTTCGCTTTCAAGTTTGCCGTGGCTGCCCTGCAGCCAAATCTTGAACAGTGGCTTCCGGAGCAAGTGCAGTGGGAGGATGTACGAGCGACTCTGCAGCTCTTGAGCGTTGAGGATTTGAAGCAGCTGGCCAAAGAGCCAGATCCACTCGAGTTCTTGCAGTCGCTCGCGAAGAGTGGCGGGCCCGTCGCTCTGAAGTGGGTCCTGGCGCAGATTCGAAGCGACGTGGAGCCTTTACTGCCGGTCGGCGTCGCGTGGTCCGACATGGAGGCGATCTTTCAGGAGATGGAGCTGGCGGACGTCGAAGCGGCCGCAAGTGACCCACAGCGTGCCGGGCTTAGCTGCCTTCGTGGCAGGTGCCTCCGAAGTGAACCGCCTGGCCTGTTTGGCAGTCTGCTTGAGTGTGCTGCTGATGCTCAGGCTTCTTGTCTGAGCTCGGTGAGACGACAGGCTGGGCTGAAGTTGCAAAGCTCCTTTTGAACCCTTGCTGTCATACGTATTCCAAGTAGGCTGCTTCTGCGGAATCCCTAGCCGATTGCAAGAGAAGCAACAAGTCAGGAAGGGTAAGTGGTCAGCAACACGCGCAACGTCAGCAGTTTGGTGCTGCATGAAACCCAACGGCAGAGAGGGGCTTAATTATCAGCTCCGGGCCATTCTGTAAGTCATCCAGTTGTAGCCGGGTATTGCTTCACAACGACAAGCCATAATACACTCCCTGTACGGAGTGTTCCATGGGCACCGCAAGAGGAGTCGGCTGGTGCCACGAGTCCTTGACCAGGTGGTGCTGCCACAAAGTGGTGCCTGGCGCAGCTGAAAGCAAAGCTGCGCCTGCCTGGCAGCATCAGTTGGGAAGATGCCACTTGCCAGACAAGCTGGGTAACCAGGGCGACAAGGCCTCCACGGGTGTTTTCTATTTGTGCCAGACAGAGCTCAGGTGGAAGAAGCCCTGCGGCATTGTAGTGATGCAGAGTTGAAGCGTCTGGCCGGAACACAAGAGCCCGAGCTGTGGCGTTCACTCGTGGACAAGGGCGGGCCATTGGCCGCGAGATTTGGAAGTTCGCAGACTTTGGGTGCCAATCTCAGCTACGTTCTTTTTTGACAGGGGACCTGATGCCTTGAATCCTTGTTTGTTTTGGTGGGGGGTCCCCAACCACCCCCCCCCCTCCGCCGCATGTTTGAGCCTTGCAAAAGCTTTGCCCTTGGAAGGAGTTGCTTCAAGACCCAGATGCCATGTTTTCTAAACCCGACATGCGAGCATGGTGGCTTGCATTTGGGGGAGTCTGTGCAAGGCTGGGATGCACCCCTTTCCCCCGCGCCCCTAGGGCCCTAGGCAGGGTGCAAGTTACCACCTTTGCGGCCCAGAATGTGCCGAGAGTCCTGACCTTTCCTTCAACCCGCGCCCCGAAGCCCCACCTTCCACCCGAAGCCTTTGTGCTTTCCTGCGCGCACGTAGCGAGCATGAATGTATCTTGATGTACTAAGGCAAAAAAAAGGCCATATCAGCACACCCCTAGGCAACACTAGACGCAAAGTACCTTGTTGGAGCAAGAGTTTTTTCGTCATCCGGACATGTTGGTGAGCCTGCAGAGTTTTTGCATCCTGCGCTTGCATGCTCTTTGTGCGCTTTCGACCTGTTTTCGGTGGCTGCTTGCAAAAACAGAGCCGGAGCTTTCAGGCGACGTTGCTGCAGAGGGGCACTCAACTCACTCAACTCTTGCGCGGGACGAGGCAGCGGGGACCCTCTGTTGACATCAAGCCATGCAGAAAAGTGCAGTGCAGACGCAGTCTGTGTTCATGGAGCTTGTGTGGGCTGCTTGGGGAGGCAGCAACTGGAGGCGCTGAAGACGCAGACGCTCTCCAACAGCTTCCCGCCCCCTTCGAAGCCTGGGGGGCCAAGCCCATCCTGGCCGCAAAGGAGGCCCTGGAAGAGAGGCTACCTGAGCTGGCCCAAGTGCAAGGCCTGGAAGCTGCTCTGCAGCTCCTGACCGTCGCGGACTTGCAGGAGTGCTGCTTAGGCTTAGGGGTCTTAGGGGGGCATCCGTTCGGGTGATCCTGCTGCTCCTGCTTCCAGCTGCAGTTCCTTTGGCTGTTGTGGATAAGGGACCGTACCTGGCACCGATGTTTACCAAAACGATCCAAGAGACCTACGTGCTTGTAAACTGGGGGTTTCCGAAATTAGGGTACCTTATTGGGGTCCTTAATTTTTCCGGATGGGTCTGTTTTCGCCTTTTGTGGTGCTTTACTGTAACTTTAGATCCTTAGCCTTTTTGGGTTTATTGGGCTTCTTAACAAGGCAGCTAAAAATCTCATTTATAGCTACCCTCCTAAGTGCAGCCAAGTAGGGGTCCCCGAGGAGCTGGCCGCCCCGAGGACCGAGCCAGGGACGCTTCGGAGCCTCGGGCAGGTCCGAGGTGCCCTCGAGCCGACGCTGCCTCCGGGAGTCTGCTGGGCAGATGTCGAGGTGCGAGTAAGGAATCATCCCTAAACCCTAAACCCTGATCCCTGAAACCCAAAACCCAAAAACCCTAAACCCTAAGCCCTAAGCCCTAAACCCTAAGCGAATAGTGAGAAGGGCCTAGTGGCTCTGGCAAACAGCGAATAGCCCCGTGATAGTTATCAGTTCTGCGCCTTCACTCTGTCCTTTTGTGTGAAGATCACGGCATCCTCAAGCAGATAGAATTTGGTTTTCGGGAGGGGGGGACGTTTTTCAAGATCTGTGCCCAAAACGCATCAAAACACTCTACGTCTCCTCCCTCCCTCCTTCTGCAATGGACTCTTGCTCATCTTCGGGCCGGGGGTCCTTTGAAGGCCTTCCCAACAGGAGCGCCTGTTGAGCAACCGGTCGTTTTGGGGCTTCTGCGGGGTTCCTTCCCCCATCTAGGAGGTGGCGGGGGCCCCAAACTGGAACCGACCCCATAGATAGAATGTTTGGTTTAGGGACTAGCACCAACCCACAAAACGGAACCGACCCCATAGACAGCAGAATATTGGGTTCAGGGTTTGGGCGGAAAATTGAAGCATTGACAATCTCCGGGGCTCCCCTCCATGGCTCTGACGGCCAGAAACGTTTAGGGGACTGAAAAAAATCTTGCGCTTGTTGTACCATCAATCCCTATACCAGAGCTGCTTTCATTTTCGAAGCAAGTCTTCGATCTGACTGGGGAGGCTGCTTTTCAACATGCAGAAAATGCCGACCTGCCAGGTGCGGGGGCTCAGATGTGGGCTATGCCTTTCTAGTCTGAGGGTTCAGGGCCTTCTCTGAGGTTATGGGTAGCCAGGGGAGCTGCATGGAGGTTTACAGAGGTGGCTTATGGTATGATCATTGTTTGGACAGTAGCCATACTGACGTATAGCTTCGGTAATCGTGAAGCAGTGTTCTTGGAACAGTGTGTGCATTGATGCAGGCTTTGGTTGCAAGTTTTCCTGTGCTCTTTGTTAGTGTTTAGGGTTTAGGGTTTAGGGTATAGGGTATTTTGGAGCAGTTGGGAGGCTCGAACAGAGAAACTGTAAGTTACGCAGCCTTTGCAGCAGTTGGAAGGGAGATTCTTCAAACTTTGCTTGCAGGCTTCAGCTACTGTAACTTGCTGCACCTGCCACTCCCCATGCCTTTTTAGTTTCTGCTTCACGAGTTCTCAATACTTACGGATGGCTTGAAGCAGGTCAGCAGACGCCTTAGCGACGAATTGCGAAACCAACGATGTTTCCTGAAAGCATAGCGCGCGCTTGGGGGGTGCAGCCCCAACTTTCAGCTTTCGCAGCAGCCTACGACAAACAAAGCTCCCCCCATCATCCCTTAATCGGGAAGCTAATGGGGGGTATGAGAATCCCTACTCAGGACTGTTAGTAGAAGGGGGAGCATCCCAAATCATCCATGCAAAAGTCCAAGACAGCCTGAAGTCGCATCCAAGACCCAAGTTGCCAGTCACTATCGTGAATCCCCCTAAACCCTAATGAACCCCAAACCCTAACCCCTAACCCCAAACCCCTAAACCCTAAACCCTAAGCCCTAACCCTAAACCCTAAACCCTAGGAGCCCGTGCCCTACCAACTCGTCCGTAACCCGCTTGAGGCACCATGGGCGAGGTCCGTGTTCCGATCCTCGACCAGGCCAAGGGGCTGGGCATTAGATACCTACACCCTATTAGTGATGTATAGGGGCATATGTATATAGGGTACCTACTTCCCTAAGTTAGATACCTACACCCTATTAGTGTATTCGTAATGTATAGGGGGCATATGGGGTGCTTACTTTCTCTCAGTTAGGTACCTGCCCGATGTAATAAACAAGGGGGATGTAAGGTACCTGTAACTCCCTAATTCCTTTCTAAGAAGATTGTTTGGGGAAATTCTTGGCTTGCTACGAGGGTTTGGTGGTCACCGCGTTTTGCTGCTCCTGCTGGTGTTGTTTGTTTAGCATCAATCTGTATGGTTGGCCAGAATGCAATCGTAAATAGTTGGACTGAAGATGGAACTACTCCGGTCTATCATTGGGGTGGATGGAAGGCAACGGTTAGCGCTTCAGCGGGCCGGAGCAACACAAGGCTTGGTTATCACAGTTATCGTTTCGCGTCCCATGAGCCCCTTGGACTCCTCAAAGCAGCCTCAAACAAAAGTCCCAAGGGCCCGGTGCAGCCGACCGGCCTGGGGCCAAGGGAAGCTGCTGCATTCCACGACCCACCGTCTGCCTGGCAGAGATGCCCAGGCCCTGTGTGGTGAATCTATAGCAAAGTATGCTCTGTTTCGATTGTGACGGGTAGGGTCGTCGCTAGGAAAACCGAATCCAAAACCTTAAAACCCCAGGGTTCCGGAAGGTGCAGTCCCCGAGCCGGAGGAGGACGGTGCCTTCTGCGGCAGAGCACACGATACCGGGGCAGCCTAAGCCAGATCACAGTATAGGTAGTACCAGTCTGGAAGTTTTGCAGCTAGTCCTTGAGACTCCTGGAAAGAGGAGGTCGCAGAGTCTTCTGAGTCGTTAGAGGTGAAGGTCAGGGAGAATCAGGAATGGTAGCTCAGCGTCATCTGGGACCGACCGGCAGCGGAGCGCGAGGTCTCATCTGAAAGCCGTGTGTGAAAGCCGTGTGTTTGGGGCGGGGGGGGGGGTGCTGCCATGCGGTGCACGAGGAAAGGGTCACAACTTTCCCCAAAAAGTCTTAAGCCCCCAAGCCCCCAAGCCCTTGAGATTTCGAGGCCATGGCTGTGTGGGCCCTTTTTGCCCCCGAGGCGCCTCCATCCTTGAAGTTCGCGTGCCGATTTCCGCTGACCAGGTCGAGGGCTTTTTGCTGGTGTGCTATGAAGGGGAGGTTTCCGAAGAATAGGGGTGGCCTTTTTGGGGGGGTCCCTTTAAGGGGATTCTGTTCTAGTATTAAAAGGGGTACCCCTATTTTGGGCCTTCCAAGCTTTGCGCGGCCGTTTCGGGTAAGATTTCGCAGAGGCACGACTTCACCAGAACCTTAGGGGCTTACAGGGTTCAGGGGGCGGCCCCGGAGGACTCCCTGCACGAAGGAGACAGTGATGTCCTGGAGGAATGAGTCGGGAGCCTTGTCAGCGAATTGCCGACTCGCACGGTGGTGCGCACTGGTGCAAAAGCGCGGAGGAGCAGCTGTGCTGTAGGGCCCTTCAGACTTCTGAGCCTTCAACTCCATAGCCCCATCTTGAGCGATACATCTCGGGAGTCCTGGACCCAAATAGAGCTCCTTCCCAAAAGCCGGCCAGCTCGCAAATTGGCCTCAGTCAATCCCTTGAGAGACTTGTTGTTTACAATGAGTTTTGGCCAGGGCCAACGATGTCAGCTCAGAGGAGCATTGCCAGGTATCGTCAGGCTTGTCCCGGAGCGGGGGGAGGCCTCAGGCAGCGATTGCATAGATGAGCCTTCGGAGTGGCCTGCAAGCTCTCCGTGGGGAGGCACGTGTGCCTATCTGATTGGTCAGTGACAGTCGGGATGCACATAACAGCGTGCCATTAGGACCAAAAAGTCTTGCGATAAGCTCTGCAGCAAACCTGTCCGCAGTGAACTGGCAGGGGCTTCACAAGGCATGTTCAAACCAGAGGAAGCGTAGGAATGCCAGCATCATGTTCGATGTTGTCGCAAGACATCCCCTTCCATGCACGCCGTTTGGGCTTTGCAGACATGGCATCCATCATCACCGGTGAACGTGATCGAAGCCATATCCCCACACTAAGTAATTTGGCCAGCATGCAGCAGGAGCTGGGAACGGATGCATTAAACCTTGTAGGCCAGTTAAACTCTGCATTATGCTTCCGATGCGATGGACGGCGTGCCAGCAAGGGAGGCAGGGACTTCGCTAGAGGATGTTTGCTGAGGCCAAGTTTTGCATGCAGTTGCAGGTTTTGCCCGTTCCAGAAGGGGTGGGGGGCCATGCTTCTGTGAGTTGTGTTGATCCGTGCCTTTGTTGTTTCAGTTTCCTTTGGTGCCACGTCCCCCCCATTCGTACGCCATGCTTTGCAGGTTGGAGATGAGCGTGTTTTGGCTGCTGCAGCAGGCCTTGTGCCGGAGACTGGGCGGTGGAACGTGCCGATGCCCCCGAGCCGCCTTGGTTGGCTTGTGGAGGCCCTTGGATTGCCGGAAGCACCGTTGGCAAATGAAGCAAGAAGTGGGCTCTGCCTGCTTTGCCCTGAACCCTAAGCCAGTAGGCCCTAAGCCCGTGTCCGCGTGACATCTCAATATCTCCAAGGGCAGTTCCCTCTAGTTCCCTCTCGTGTACTTTGATTTGCCCCGGGTTGTCAACTCCGACCGCGAGTTGAGGACACTGCGCCAGGCTGCTCGGTTGTCGAACTTGGGGTTGGCGCACAGCTTGGTCTTGTGCACTTCCAGCAGCTCATGCGCTGCGCCCCAGAAGGCGCGGAGCACGGCATCAGGCTCACCGCACTGCACGCCCTGCTTCAGCAGACGTCGAAGTCGACCATTGGCCAGGATCTCATAGGTCCGCATGTCCCCCTTCAGGGCAGCCTTGTGCATGGCGAAGAGGTCGAAAGCGACATCAAACTGCAGGCCCTGAAAATCAGAACTCAAGCGGCTCGAGCAGGTCTGCCTGCAAAAAGGCTCAGGCAGCTTTCTTTCATCTGGCTCTTCGGCGCCGGCGTCCATAAATGTGCACCAATGCATTGCTTTCAATGCTGTGCTGAGCACGTGTCCCACTCGTCAAGATGCTCATCGCATTGCTAGCACTTGGACGGCCCAAAGGCTATCCCCGACATAGCCGTCGTCCACCGTGTCTACGATAACTGCAAGCATACGATCATTAATGCACTGCGGCATGCATCGCAAGTGACGAGTATTCTTCTTCAAGCCGGCAAAGGCAGTGGAGGCGGCCACTGAACCGTCTGTGGCCATGTCAGGCCTCCCAAGATACCCGAACGACTTGTGAACGCCGCCGCTGGGGGGTTGATGTTCTCGAGGTTCTCAATGACTTCAATGGGATCGCAGGATCCGAAGTGTGTTCCGAAAGGCGCCGCCCGAGAGCTCCCATCTCGGTTTTCTGCAAATCTTGGCGCACATGTGCAACATTTTGCGCGGAGCGGCCAGTCATGTCTGATGCATGTGGGACAGAGTCCCGGACAGTCTTGAGGACGTGACGTGTTGAAATTTCCGGCAATGCGATTTTAACCCTGAGCCTCTGCTGTAAATCACACCTGCTGATTGACGTCAGCTCAAGGCACCCGTGAGAACGGGATGGCACTGGGTTTTCGGGGGGCACCTGGTATATAGCTGCTCTTGACACGAGCGTCAGCTCAAGCTCTAAACAGGCAAGGACAGTCAATGAATTGCTGATGAAAGAGCGTACGCATTGCTTCCGAAGACGACAACGCTTCGGGCAATCAGGCTCCAAGATAGCACTCACGAGCCGGCGAAATCACCTGGATGCATAAGGCCATTTTGCCATCGACAGTGCGGCTGTGCCGCATTGGAACATCAAGGCATGCACTGCTGTTTCAGCTTGACAAGCATCCAAGAACGCGCAGCTTTTCGCGGAAACTGTAGACTCTGGCTCTGCAGCTACAGCGAGCGAGGTGGAAATCCACACGCTGGAAACCCCCACCCCTAAGCTTGAGAAGGCCTCTGAACGCACACAGCCTTTCGACAATGCCTTGACAAGTTGTAATCCCGGATAAGAGCAGCACTGGCAACTTGCTGAGAAAAGAATAGCCCCCGCCCTCTCCCCGGACCCTGGGGAAGAGAATCTTGAGCCTAGCCTCTTCTCGACCACAAAGAGCCCCCAATCTTTTGAGCTAACTTTTCTAATTCATGTTACTCTCGTTCTTGTCTCATCTTGTCTCCGTTTCTGCAAGTCCCGCGCAGACTCTGGCAAGTGCATCTCCTCCAAGGCCCACTTCTAGAGCCCAAGCAAGATCTGAAGTGCTAATAAGATCCCTCCCTGAACCTTCAACCCCTCCCCTGCCTGGCAGATCCCAAGTGGAGGGACTTTCATTCCAATATCGGGAGATGCATGGCCGATTCTGCTTCGCGAGCATGCCGAGAACGGGCACCTCCGGCAACCTGTAGCATCTTAGTATTGCAGCAACAGCCAGCATGGGCGAATTTCACCGGCTCTGAACCCACGCGTGAGAAGGCCGTGGAATGCCGACACCTTTTGGACGAAACGGGCTTCCACAAAGTTGCGGGCCTGGATAGCATGTCTCAGAGTTGCAAGTTGTCCAAGTTTCTGATTGCAGAGGTTCTGTGGCATACGGACGGCAGGACCGGTGAAGCAAGCATGCTGGTGTAGACTGCTGTCGCACGATCACAGCAATGATCAAAGCGCGCAAGAATGATCCGCGTGACTCAGTGGGATGCAAGTTCCCACGCTCCGCCTTGATAAGGGTCTTTGGTTGTTTCAGTCGCCAAGCCATGCCTTATCCTTCGTAGGATGCAGAATGACATCGCCAGGGTGTTGGCATTAGAGTCTGCCTGAAGCTGGGAGTTTGAAGCAGCCTTCCAGTCCGATCAAGGTCCTTTAGCTGGCTTAGCTGACGGCGTGCCAGCCAACTTGCGAAACCCAGCCTTCGTTTGGCAAGCTGCAGAGTCTGCCATGGACCCCCCTTGAAAACTGCCGGCCCTGCCAACCTCTGATTTTTACCAGGAGTCCTCCGACGCGACCATTGCGAATTGTCCATTTCCGTCAGAGCATCAGAGGAGCTCCGTGGCATGAGGGAGTCGTTGGCAACAGGGGCCGCCTGCCTCGGCTGGCAATGGGTCAGTGGTCACTAGGTCACCAGCCGGATCGCTTGGTTTGCAGGAGGCATTCGGGCATCACTGCATACCAGTGGCCGGTCACCTGCTGGCGGCTATGTGCACCTTCTAACGGTGCCTGTGTGCAAAGTGGGCACATATGGATCACCAAGAACGACGCGAGCGAAAATGGCGGTACGGACATGGCCTGAACGGCCTGGATTGAGGCAAGCATGACCAACTACACTACGGGTCCAAGCGCCCACTTGATTGAGTCCCGGTGCCTCATGGCCATTTGTTTCCTTACTTGACCGGGTGCGAAAGGGCACTCGCAGCAAGGCTCGTAGACAGGAAAGCCCACATCTGGCGGCAAACTCCGGCGTGCTCTCATACTGGACTGGCATTCAAGCAGTAGGGGTGGAGGGGGGGGTAAGCTGGGACCAGGAAAGCCGGCAAAACGATGATGGGTTTTGCACCGGATGGCGTAACAGTGCAGCTGGTCCATGAGTGCCAGCACCGTGCACTAAGCTTGCAGGGGTGGTTGCTTGCTTCGGACGTTTTTTGCCAGCCGCACTCCCCCTAGGAATGAGGGCAGCTCCATGGCGGTGCTCGCGGTCCAGGATTTGACAGGACGCGCTGGCGTGTCGACGTATCTAGGTTTTTTTCGGTCGACTTCCGTTGCCCTTTTGGCGAAGCTGGATGTCATTGTGAGCGCTGCTCGAACGGGTAAGCTCCAGAGTTGCTAGCTGCCGTGGATAGTCTGGCTATCTGAAAGGTGGCCCCCATGCAGCATGGACGTGGACACCTCTCCTCATAGCTCCCCTTGCATGCTTTCGAAAATCAATAAGTGGCGGCCCAAAGTGTGCGGCTCCGCATGCTCCCAGGTTTAGAACCCGACATGGCATGGAGAGGATTGACGCAGAGGTTCCATGTTGCAGCAAGCAGGTTGAGGGGCTTGGCTCGACGGTCCCGAAGGCATCAGCACGTGCGCAAGTAGACGATACCTCGGTCATCTCGAGTGCCGTGTTTTGCTGAACGTCCATCCATGGGCGCGACCAGCGCCCTCTGCCTCTCCGTAGCTCGTTTCATGGCCCAGCTGGTCGTGGAGGAACTGAGGAACTAGAGGCCTGGCCGCCATGTCTTTCTGTCTTTGTCACAGCCTTCAACAAGCAGCACACTGTGGCTCGTGAATCTTGTGCCGTTTCGTTTGCCGGGGCTGACTACACACAACTGCACCCCGAGCGGGATGGGCTCGTTTTCGGCTGTGGCAATCCTCAGGTGCCCTTCTTGCTTGCAAGCCTTCTGCCGCCCGACGCTGCATTCACGCAAAGCGCTTGCGCAGTGGACATTGACCGAGACCCAATGCTCAGGAAGGGTCCGTGCAGTTGCTCAAGTAGCTCACTCCTCATGCTGCCGCCAAGAAGCCCCAGGACTCTGCGCGATCAGCCCGGTCCAAGAGTTGTTCGGGTGGCTGTCGGAACGACATCAGATTTCCGTGCCTCCTTGTGGCACTGCGGCCAACTACGAGCAGAGTTTGTACCTTGCATACCTTGCTTGCTCCCTGCCCGAACATGCCAGCTGGCCGTCATCCGCAGAAACATGCTTTGGTTCAGAACAGGGCCGACACCGACCTGGCTTGCCTCAGGCGTGTGCACCGTGTCGCACGCGCATAGAAGCCTGAATCGAACTACGCGTGTACTCTGGATGCTTGTGGCCTCCCAAGCGATGAATATAAGGGACCTTGCCCAGAAGGAACACCGTTTTGTTCCATGTGGAGTAATCGTCAACTACAAATCCGTGTTGATTCCTGTGTGCAAGAGGGCCGTGGACGTTTAGTACGCCTGGAGGTTCTTCCCAACATACCCACGGAACAACCGACCCGGAGCTCTGTGTTGTCACATTGTTTGTATGCGCAGGTCTAACATAGAAGGGATGGTTGCCATCTTGGTCGAGTTAGATACTGAGCGCAAGACCATTCGGTGAACAAGGGGGAAGCCCCATCGTCTGTAACGATGAACCTCCGAGGTATCAAAAGAACCCTTGTAAGCAGGAAGTTCTCGTTCACATGACGAGGACGACAAGGAACCCCGAAAGTGAAGAAATCACGCCACTTAAGAATTGAGACTCATCAGCCCCAAACCAGTTTATGTCTTGAAAGCCGGCAAGTGCCCGTGGAGGTGGCAGGGCCTGGACTCCCATGGTGCGGGACCCGGGGCGTGCGACCTGCAGCCAGACGCCGAACACTGGAGTGCGGGCTTTTCAGGGCTGGGGGCTGCAGTTCTGGGGGACTTTTAGGGCTCCTGAAAGCAAGATCGAGTGATCTCTGCGTTGGGTTTGAAAGCCGGGGCCTACACGGAATGAACTCTTTGCCCGGTGTTCCCAGCATGGGGGTCCCCGGAGTGCTAGCACAGCCCAGATATGTGGTCCCACATCCGTAGCCCGACATGAGTGAACCCTAAGCCATCCTAAAGAATCCGAGGCCCATCCGGTTCCAAAATCCCACAGACGTGTGAATTTTGCGATGGCCGCGCGGCCCTGGTTGCGGTCAGCTGCAAGCTTTCCGTGGGGAGGCATGCGAGGCTGTCACCGGGGGCCCTCTTGCCACGAGATGTCTTGGGACATGTCACTGATGTCTACCAAGCCAAACCAAATTCCAACTGGGCCCCATGCATTGTAGCCGCTGCCCCACTCGAAAATCTGCACAACCGCAAAGCCAGCATGAAGCTGAGCCCATGAGTTTGCGTATTGCGTGATGAGACGTTGCGATGTTCCGAAGGGTCTGCCAAGAGTGTAGTGGTGTGTAGTGTCTTCCTTGTGATCCAGGGTCCATGGATGCCGTTGATGCTGCGGTCATTCCCATCTCCCGCATATGCCACAGTTTTTGCCAGGTAGTAGGGGGCTCGGACTACGCGCTTGTTCTCTCGCAGCCGCCGGTGGTCCTGCCTTTAGCGCCTCTACGTGCCAATATCGAATGAGGCCAAGCCTTGGCACCTGAAGGTTGAGTGGCTCCGCCGACGACCTTCCCGTTAGGGCCTTGAGGCCTTGTGAGTGTCTCCAGGGCTTTAGCATCGGATGCTTTGGGCTGAGAGATAGAGTTGGAAGGAGCCTGTGGGGAGCATGGGACGGCAACGACGTCCAGCTGTGCGCCCCAAGAAAGATCGGGGGAACCCACACCTTGGGACTTGGTAGGGTCCGAGAGTTCAGGAACAGGTTCGCAGAGAGCAGCGACTTCCAGCCACATCCAATCCGATGTGTCCAGCTAGGGACCCTGAGACTCTGGGGGTTTCCATGAAGTAGCGGCCCCCTGCTTGGGGATCTCTTTTTTGGTCCATACAAGGAATCCTGCCATGTCGGCATCCACGTTTGGGAGACCCACATGCCCGACAGATTTGCAACCAGTCGAGGTTGAAACGCAGTCCGCCGTTCCGGGACTGCGGCAAGCCTGGAGGATCTTAAGGTTTGAACCTTGGCGTGCGTCAGATGCAGGTTCTCACTGCGGGGCTTGAAAAACCTAAACCCTAAACCGGACACCCTAAACCCTAAACCCTAAACCGACCCTAAACCGTAAACCCGAAACCCTAAACCGTACACCCGAAACCCTAAACCCTAAACCCTCCTCCAACCCTCTGAGGCCGCATGAGGTTGCCCATGATCAGCCTCAGTGTGCCTCGTGCCTTGTATGCGGGCTCCTTTTGTCTTGTCCTGCCGCCTGCTTCGGATCGCAAGATTGAGGCCCTGAGCGCCCAATGTGAGCTTTTGGAAAGAAGATGCAAAGAACCAAGACCAAACGAACGCCTTGCGATGGTGATGGCCTCCATAATGCTTCTTCAAATAGGAATCGCTCGCCCCACTCGACTTGGCTTTGTTCAAGAAACGATACAAGTCCAGCTCATCTACCGGCATGCTTTTTTTTCTTGACAATGCCCTGTCCTAAACTGAACCAGCGATTCTGAGAGGGGGTATCTCATACACATTTCGTACCATGCCACTATTTGTTTAGACCCACAGGTAGTCAGTTCTTCTGCATCGTCGTGTTGCAAACGCATGAAGCTCGATATCTTCCCTTTGCAGTCATATTAGGACTCTTACATGCAGAGGTTCCCAGTTCGACTCTGCAAAGGATGAGAGCCGCAGGCGCACTGGCAGGACTGTTTGCTGAGCAAAGCATGACTGCAGACGCTTGGGGTTCAGGAACTTCGCAAAAGCGTGTGCAGTCGAGAGGCGCGAAGCTAACCATGCAGTTTCGCCCTGGCGCCATGCAGCATGTCACAACCTTTGTGCAGTTCACCAAAGTGCGGCGCTTGCCACTCCAAGCGTAGCACCTGCCACTCCAAGGGCAACATCTGTCTCAAGAGCCCTAGTCGCATTTTCGGAGGGCTCCCTACCTCCCATGCTGCGCTGACTCTCAAGAACCCCTGGGAATCGGTGCAACGCGGTGCTCTAGGTAGCTGTTGATGGGCAAGAGGCACCCGTTCCACGAACTCAGCGTGGGCGCCCCAGGTCCCCGGGAAAGGTTCACGAAGGGCCCACGAGGTGGCAGCCATGGAGGGTCGATGCCTGTGCATCGTGCAACTCAGGGAAGGTTAGATGAAGCCGGAAAGAAGGCCGGGGCACTTAGCACAATTGCGCGGGTGCCTGCTCTAAGTTCCGTTTGTTGCCCGGAGCTCAAGATGCTGATGGTACGATGGACAGGGCCGTCGCCACGCCCCAAGAGTATCTCTTCAACTTTCCACTGGAATGAGGATGCCAGTCCGGGATCCCCCAAACTGAGGAGGCCTTTGACCTTCGACTTCTCAGCACCCACTTCAAAAGCATGTGGGCCGCTTTCTTCTCTTGCTGACATGCTGGGCCTTAGCGCCAGAGGCATATAACGAACTCGCAAGCATTCTCGAGTGGCCGAATCGCTTGTCTTGAGGCCGCGCTGCAGGCTTGTGGCCAGGACGCTACGGGTCGTGTAGGACCCGCAACTCCTAGGTAGCGAAAGCTCGCAGGCACAGCATGCTACAGACTCTTGCAGCAGGGGCGCACACTGGAGCTTCTTTCATCCGAGCTCGGGTCATGCCCAGTGCAAGGTCTTGAAAAAACCAGGTCTATGTCCGGATGCTTATCTGACTCAGTGACGCTAGCTGCCTGAATGAACATCTAGCCAGAGAGTGTGCCCATCTCCTTCGAAATTGGGGCTACCAGGGGAAAGATCCTTGTTCCCTGCAAAGACACTGCCTTCAATCCGGAGGACCCTCCTTCTGAAAGCGCTGGCACGTGTCAGGAGCCATGAGCTGCGTTTGTGGCACAGAGCCATGGCTTCGTCCGAACATGGTGCCAACATGGTGTTGAAAGTCGTCCACTTCAGACCCTAAACCTCAATTCACCCTGGTGTTCTGGGTCTTGAAGTCCTAGCCCCTCCGTCATGCGGAAGTCTGCGCACTGCGGGCGAAGTGGCCGCGGACACATGGCTTCTTGATTGGGCCGTTCATTAGAAGCCCTAAACCCTAAGCCCCTAAACGCTGTCTGCGTTCTCTCTTCTCGCATGCAGCCGCGGCAGCAGTCCTGGAAAGCTGCTTGCTGCGCCTTAGAAGCAACCTAAACCTTCCGCCTCCCTCTAGATCCCATGCCATGTGGCATCTTGAGACATCTTGAGACTTGGTGAAGGGAGCGTGCGAGATTCCTACAGATTCATGTCGATTTACAGCAGGTCTTGCGGGAACCACGCGAGGTTTACCCCAGACTAGCTGGGAGTACAGACGTCAACTGTTTGGCTTCACGAGGTCGTGATCACAGCCCATTCAGAGGCTTGTCACCGAGCACGGCCAGAACCTTGGAGGTGCTGGCCTAGGCCCTGCAGCCTGGAAACGCCCTCTCCGCATGGTCAAGGCATGGTCAAGGCACGGCTTCCGCTTGCTGGCCTCTGACAGCCTCAGAGCTTCGCTGCAGTCCTAGCCCCGGAACCGGCGGAAAAAACCAGCATTGTCGGAAGCAACCTGCAAGTCCTCGTTCTTGTTGAGGTCCTTTGCGTTGAGGGGTGTTGAGGGAATCACCCTCACTTTAACGGCTAGCAGCCTGCAAGAACCCGGCCTGAGCATTTGCTCATGCCAAGCCCGGTGCTGGTTCTGTGCCACGGGCAGCGAGCACCACCTGTGTGTTGACGCATCGCTGATGCGCCACGCAGGGCCACCAGTGCTCACTAAAGCCGTAGAAGTTCCCACAACAAACTGGCAGGGCATGTGAAGCCCTTCAGCTGCAGAGCATGCCAGTTTCAAGACTCACATTGAACAGCAAGCGATTGTGAACAGACACGCCTTGCGCCGGAAGCTGGCTAAAGAAGCCTTGCACGTTCACAGGAAGGCGATGTGGGACATCACTTGTGCGACGAAGGTGCAAAAAAGGAGCGCTTTCGTAAGACATGATGTTGGTCAAGATTCATGCCGAGGCAAGGTGACCGTTCCCCCACGTACTGAGAAAGCAGCAGTTGGCCGAACTTTTGAGAGCACCTGCGCATTCCCCAAACCACGAATAGTAATTATCTGGTAGCGTCAAGATCATGTGCCATGGGAGTTCTCGATTCGACCACGCTCTCAAGCTTGTTTTCCAGCGCCAGCCAATAGTCAATAGTACTCTTCCTGTTTATTCCTTAACGAGCAGTCGGGCTTCTGGGGACCTCGCCTGAACCCGACCCTCTGAACCCCAAGCTCGAAGCCCCCGACCACACTCAAGCACAGCTGTAAACTCCCCAAATATGAACAATTCAGGACCCAACGCTGTAGACCCAAACCATCAAGCCCAACGGCGAGTTCCCCGAACCCCCAAAACCCAACCCGCCGAAGCCCAAACCACGAAACCCTTCCATCTCCGAAGCGAGTCCTTGCAGTTTGGCTACCAGGCGTCCTCATGAAAGCTGATCTTCGATTTTGTTTGCCCTTGAAACCTGAACCCCCGAATTTACGTACAAACCACCACCAAACACTCCTTGACCCAACCCCCATCGCCTCGACACGTGTGCTGCTTGGACGTCGGCTGTAGCATTTGTGCCAGCATCAGTTTGGGTGCAGCTATCACGCCACAGCTTTGCAGTGCTGAGTTCGTAGATCTTGAGAAGCAAGTTCCAGCAAGTTCCAGGACGAAGGAAGCAGCAAGCACAACACCCCAGCCCGCTACGTAGCAGGGGAATCCGACGAAGACTCCTCTCAGATGCGGCATGCGGCATGGTCTGCAGGCTTCTCCAGCGTGCAACGACTGCATTCTTGGTGCTGCTCAGCCTTTCGTCTCCGAAGGGGCTGGCTGGGCAGTGCCTTAATGCCACAAGCTTCGGCTTCACACGGAAGGCTTCCTTGAGGACATCGAGCTTTGGCGAGCAGGATTTCGTGCTCACCATCGCGTCCGGGCTATGGGACACCAGCGACTTAGCGGCCAACCTTGTCAAGATCTTGGCTGAAGACTTGTTGGGCGTACAGGCGAGGACCAGGGCAGCACAACTACTCCTATCATAATGTTGTGACAGGCGATCTAGGATCAGATGTCGAGCCTGCCACACATTTCAATGGCACAAGGATGCGAACCCATCCAGACAATTCTAACTGAGACTTGAAGTTGTGCTAAGCATGAATGTACAACATAGCACAGTTCTTGAGACGACTGGAGACATTGGGCGACAACTACCAAAACAGGCATTTTTTCTGCAGCAAATGCCGTCGAAAAGGGGCTGTTGGGACTGGATGTAGCAAAAATCAAGCAAAGACGGGGACAGGTGATGACAAAAGAGATTCTTGTGGCATCTTGTACGACCGAATGCAGTTTTTTTTTTCCCCTCCGCAGCAAATGTCCAGTGAAAAAGTACTTGAGACAGGATCTAATACCAAGCAAGCAAAGTAGTGAGTTGCAAGTATGAGCCATTTTCTTTGCAGGTCAGTTTTCTGAGAGTATTTCTGAGGCAGCGTTTGCAATTTATAATTTCTAAGGTTTCTAGCTGCCGGCTCATCATCATCTTCATCACCATCATCATCATCATCATGATCATGACCATGATCATGATCATCATCATGATCATCATCATATCATCATGGTTGACAGTTCCCGAGCAGACCCATGCATGATCCAGATTGCTTGTTCCAGTCCGGTTCTTGGCGAGCTGCCACCGACCCATGGGTAGTTGTGTGAAGGTAGCCCGCCGGCTTGACTAGGTCAACGTCCTCAACCACTTCACCTTCAGTAGCGACAAGAGCTTGCAGCTCGTGGCAGGTCTGGAGTTTCCGACAGAAGGAGAGTTCACAAATGCCAGCCTACGAGAGATGCCCTTGGCCCAAATTTCAATGGACGTGTGGCAGACGGCATCCTGGCGGACCTACAGCTACCTCAGAGACAATGGCTTGCTCAGAAGGGTTACAAACATGGGCGATGCGGGCTATAGCCCGCAGGCCGCAATGTACACCTTCCGGCCACTCGTAGAACACGCGTGGGCGGAGAAGCGGCTAGCCTTGGACTTCTACAGGACGTACATTTCTGACGTGGACACCGTCCTGGGCTACTTCAATACAACTGCTGAAATTCTCGGTGTCATGTCCGGGCTCGGCATAAGCCCAGGATGCTTGAGGCTGCCAGGAGCACAAATTGGCCATGAGACCTTAGGCACCGCAAACGCGGAGGTCTACCAGTGTGACGCCGACGGCTTCTATTACCCCCCAGGATGCAGGGTGGGAGGTGAGGCTACGGGTGCCATTTTAGCTGGCAGGTGTGTGCCCTTTCTTGTAGGAGGATACTGGCCATATGACACTGTGAAAGTGGCGCAACTGGTGACGCGCACAGGTGTGCCAATCGCAGTTACTTGGGTGGAGATCCCAGAGCAGATTGCCTTGGTAAGTAGTCAGCCCGCACATGGCACAAACTTCATCTTTTGGTGGTCGGATCACTTCCGATGGTATCAAGAGATTTCTCCAGTGCATTTACGTTTCGACAAGTATGACGAACGGGCGTGGCTGGCCGGCGACGTCACCACGGATGTCGGGCAGAACCCTGTGATCAAATACATCTGGGGGGACCTTACGCATGTAGAGGATCAAGTGGCCATCCTTGTACAGAATTACCGTATCCTGATGGAAGACATGAGGGCAATGATGATCAAGCAGAGTCTTTGCATGGGCCTTGACATGAGCAAGGCGCCCGCATGCCGGTGGCAAGCTGCGTGCGAATGGCTCAGGGAGACGGCAGATCAGGGAATTTGGACCAGTTGGCTGCCACAGGAGACTGACTGTCCTGCCGGGTACACATGGGATGATGGCACCTGTGCGCCATGCCCCGCTGGCATGCTTAAGGTCCTTCGAGGACCACAGGCATGCCAGGTTTGTCCCAATGGCACCTTCTCACGCGTAGAGGGGAATCGGATTGGATGCACGCCCTGTGAAGCGGGAACCGTTTCCAGCCAAGCGAGCGGTCAACCGGCCACCGAGTGCACTCTGTGCCCCTTGGACAGCTACCAGGACGATCCGGGCCAGTCGGACTGCCAGCTATGCCCGCCAGGTGCCGTGGCCGACTAAGATCATTTCAGATCAGTGGTCTTGCAGCAACGGCGCATTATGCTAGCGCCACAAGGTTTGAATGCGTTCTTATTGTAGCTGGCTGTGAACAATCTATCTTGTTGTGGTCATAACGTAGCTTCAGTCCAAGGTTGCCCGCGGAAGTTCGAATTGACCCTGTGTACCATGCCCCAATAATGTCCAGTAGTTTTCGTAAGCCTTGCACGAGGTATCCCCCACACAAACCAAAAGGCCATCCCCGCACGACTCTTACAGCTGATGAGCGATAATCTTGCACCCTCCTCCCTACCCGGAGTAATGCACTTCTAGGCCGCGTGTAATTCGACGAGATCCGCAGGCCCAAAATCCGAGTCCTGCCCGATTCGAATCCTTAATAGGGCTTATAGTACCCCCCCCTACTATACCCCCCCCCATATTACGATCCCTACCAAGGGCTGTTGGCATAAAGGGGGAACCCCACTGATCAAAGTAACACTCCAGGCATGGTCTCCTTGACCCGACGGTCCGCCGACTGCTTCTGCCCACCCGACACATTTGATGCTTCGCCGTTAGCTGAAGTTTTTAACTTCTTGGGTTTCCTTGTCTAGTAGGAGTATTCAAGTTAAACCTTTTTTTTTTTGCCCTTGGTTATTGAAGAAGTAAGGATGTTGCGGCCTACGCAGCTGACTTTGCCAGCTCCGAGAAGGCGTGCCAGCCTTGTCCCCAGGCCAGGGTTGCAAGGGGCGTTGAAGAGGCCTCAAAGCGCGGGGAGCGCAACGAATCCCAGACGAACTGGGCATACTGTAGGATGGTGGTCGCAGCAGCACTGCGTTGTTGCAGTGCTGATTTGCTTGTTTGGTAAACCAAGCATGTTCAAAACGGAAGCCGGTAGAACTTGTATGCTGCGAACAGATGTGAACAGTTTATGAGTATCGGTGCCGGTAGCACAACATCCCCGCGAAAAACGTCTAGTAGGACTCCTGCCAGTGTCATCGAACAGTTTCTGCAGCGGTCATGAAGCTGTGATGTTTCTGTTTTTTTTTTTGGGCGCGGGGGGGGGGGGGGGGGGAAGCATCAAGGACTCTAGGCTCCCTTCCCAATACACGAAACTCTGTTGTCCCACTAGTCATGATTTGTCTCAAAAATCAATACCCTCGTTTGATCCTAGGGTCTACTACAGGGATCATTGAGTCCCTAAAAAACAAGCAGATGCAACCCCCTATGCTCCCAAGGGAAAGTCCTGACAATGAAAGCCCTGTATGTGGGAACTTTTGTGCCCGCAAAACACTCCTAGTTGCAAGAGTTCCGCTTTTTTGTCATTTTGTTCCAGTAGGTTTTCCCTGGTTTTCCGAAACCTGTCCACAGGGCGTCAGTTGCCCCGGCCACGGCGCAGAGCCGTTGGTCCTCAGAGGCTTCTACGCGGACGGTCGGCCCAATCTGCTCCAGGGCAGTCCTGGTTCGGTTTTGGGCTTAGGATTTGGGGTTTGGGGTTTGGGGTTTTGCTTTTTCTCCTAGAAAGTTCCCCCCGAGCCCCATTCAAATTACTCACTGCATCATTGTTTTTTGCTCCTTGCGGGGGTTTCCAGAGAAGCCAAGGCTGCTGGGCCTCTGGAAGCTTGGCCTCATTTTGAGTCTTAGGACTTCAGATTGATCACTCGTATGTTCTTAGTATACAACTGGGTTGCGCTTTTTGGGAGAATTGTGAATTTCCCTTCTTTCCTTATGAGGAACCTAGTCATGAATAATTTTCAAAGGGCTTATTAAAAGCACAGCTCAGACAATACTAATCCCAACAAGAATGATAAAGACAACAAGAATGGTAGCGACAATATCGTAACATGTTAACAGAGTCGAGCGGAGTAGAATCGTTTCGCGATCAGGTGGCGGTCTTGTTGCTCTTTTGGCATACCATTTTTCACATCAGAGTTTTGGTTGAACCATCAAAGACTCCTTTTGCCAGAAAAAAGCCTGGGTCCAAACGCTTACATGGTCGGCATTTTTCGCCTCCCAGCCAGCGGAGGAAGTGCATGGACTTGATGGTGTGCCCAGGGCAGCAGGCACCCACCGACCCAGTCTGCGCAGGCATGCTGACAGGTGGGGGGTTTACGAAATTAGGGGTACCTTCATCGGGGTCCTTATAATAAGGGGGTCCTACTTGGGTGTATATTCGGGGTCCCCTCTTTTCGTAAACCTCCAGGTCTCATCTGCAGCAGCTGTCCGGATGGGTATTTCAAGGTAGGAGGCGCTTGTGAGGAATGTCAGCCTGGCCACAGAGCTACTTTCCCGATTGCGCTTGTGGGCTTGGTGCTGGCCTTGTTCATGCTTCATGTGAGCTGGAACCAGAAGCCAAAACATGTGGAGGCCTCCGAGACAGTGCTAGGCTCTGTTACCTTCGGGACCACGCTGGCATTTGTGCAGACCCTGAACATCTTCGGCAAGCTGCAGATCAACTGGCCTGTGGAGCTGAAGGCGATCCTCGACTTTTTTGCGATCTTCCTCTTCGACTTTGACTTGCTCCGCGTCGACTGCCTCCTGAGCCAGAGCTTGTCCCTGTCCTTTCTCATACAGGTCTTCAGCCCACTTGTCATTGCCGGCATCTTCCTCGCGTTCTACCTGCTGTCCCAGTTGCTTCGCCCTTGTTGCAGCCATGTTCGCGGCTTCTCAATCTACAGCATTCTAAACTCCTATGGCCTCTTCTTCCAAACCATCTACATCTCCATCGCATCTTCCTCTGTGAGCCTCTTCGAGTGCACAGCTAGCCCCAATGGTCAGGAGCGCTGGTGTGTCAAAAGGATCCAGTTCTAGGGTGAAGGGTTATGGAAGTTTCGGGTTTAGGGTGTGTTGCGCAATGCACTCTGGTGGCGAAACTTTTGGTTGGCATTGTAGTAAAGAAATATGGAACCGGATCATGGGGGATGCAGTGATTCATGTGCGAGCGATTGGAGCCCTTCACTTATGGAACCAGGATGGAGTAGCCAGCGAATCATCGCCGCTAGGAGGTGCTGCGCAAGTTCCCCTTCAGTGCCTGCGGCTCTGAGGAGCACGAGGCGGGCAGCATGTTGAAAGAAGGGTTGGGTTCAAGGATGGCAGGGGTAAAGAATGAGATCAGATTGGTTCCTGATCAGGGAGCGCTAGAGAGGTTCTGTTTGGGGAGAGGATCTGCAAACACTGGTTATTCTCGGGAAGCTTCGGGAGTTGAGGTCTTGGATCGTGGTGTCCTTCCACGGGGCATGTGGAGTCCATTCTAAGGCACGCCTGAAGTGGCCATGTTCCCAGCCAAGTCTCTTGCAGAGGCTTTTCCATCCAACCACATACCGCACGCCTGAATACATTCCTCGGACTCAAATTGCCTCGCGGGTGTAGGATTACTGGGTAAGTGACTTTCTCAAAGTGGGGGGCGGCCTCCAACCCGACTGTCCAGGTGATGAAACCCGTGGGATTCCTGGCCATTTTCCTCTACATCATTGGCTTCCTTGCCCTTGTGCTGGTACTGGCGAGGCTTGCCCCGAAGTACTCCAGCAAGTTCGTGAACTTTCAGACGGCCACACGCTGGTTCCTCTCGGGTCCGGTAGTTGTCCCGCTGTCTTGTTTTTTCGGATATTTCTTGTACCCAAGACCAACCCACCCTGTGCAGACCATGTGCGCTTTTAGTATTCCTGCGGTGGTTTCGTAGTGTGGACCCAGGTTTTGGTTCAAATATCGCAGTGACCGCTGGTGGTATGGCATTCCTTTCCTCCTGCGCTCGCTGGCCTTGGCCCTGGTCTTGGTGGTGGAGCCCTCGGACGGCCACACCCAGTTCATTCTGACGCTCTTGGTCCTAAGTTTCAACATCTGCCTGCACCTCAGCCTCCTGCCTTTTGCGGATCGGTTCGCAAACGACCTGGAGACTGCCGAGCTGGCTCTGCTCATCATGATCCTGGGTGTGGGGTCCTGGTTTATTGGCGACCGGGATTTCGAGGGCATCGATCGCGAGAAGGCCCAGTTCTTGGGTGGCATCATGCTCTGCTGCATCCTCCTCTGCATCCTCTTCATTGCCGCTGTCTTCGTGTACGTCCTCTGGGCCCTAGTCAATCCCCAGAAGGCGCAGAAACGCTCCGACAGGGCGGTGGGGCGGGTGCAGGCGGCGGTGGGTCAGCTGGTGGATCTGCTGAGAGGCTTGGAGGAGGAGCAGATCTCGGCTCTCCTCCGAAAGGGCTCCTACGTTGATCACTCCAACATCCTCCAGGCCGCCCTCTTCGTGGTAGAGGAGGGGTCTGGCGTCACTTTGACTGGAAGCTACACCCTGCACCGGGTCCGCTCGTCGAGTCTCGACCCCTCCTCGCCGCCGCCGCAGAGCACGGGGCCGAGTACGAGCCAGCCAGAATGGACTGATCCGGGAAGCATCGGCCTGGAGAGTTGGAGTAGTCCCGCGCCGGCAAGTACGGCGCATGATGAAGAAGACTCCGTTCAGGAGGTTTTTGTAAGGTAATGTTTCATTTTTTCTGCATTTTCTGCACATCCGCATATTGCGGACAGCCGGTGCTGTTGGAATCTTCCTCGATGCCCGGGACACCGAACATATGTGCTTGCCTTCGAACGACACGTAATCGTCCGAGGTACGAAAGCCGTCCGGCCGTAAACTTGCGCTGGAGTCCCAAAACGACCCGTAAACTTAAGCCAAAGCAGTAAACAGCGTCACAAGCCCGTAGTCGGTTCCATGTTCCGGATCCCCGGGTACATCAACGGTCAGCATGGGAACTCTCTCAGAATGAGAGAGTTTCCGAAATATTTTCCAATTTCGTTAAGGCCGAGCACTCGGCCAAGGCACAGCCCTGAAAACTACAATCTCCCACAAGGAAAAGCGACAAACTTCTGCCGCGGGGATACAGAATCATGGACCTGCAAGCTCAATCCCGGACCCCAAATGCACGTGCTTGTCAAAAACCGTGAGAGCTTCTTGCAGCCGCTTCTGAGCTGCGGTCTCGGCCAACACCAGATCCGAACAGACAACAGGCAATGCTCCAGCATCACATCTTCATGATTCTTCTTCTTCTTATTCTTATGGCCAGTACAGACTACGACGCTGTGAGTCGGACACACCACCCAAAGCTTGCAAACCCGCAGATTGTCAACACCTTTCAACGTGGCACTCGCGTTCTTCTAAAGCACATCTTGCACGTCGAGTGCCACAGCAGCCTCACCTTCGATGTGTCGACGCAGATGCGCTTGGCTGCATGTGGCTTCGATTGAGTTGGACAGGACTCAGCTACACGAAAGTTCAGGGTGTGTAGATGCCTTTGATCTTCTTGGTGACAGCAGTGGCTGTGGTTTTGTTTCCAGGCATTGGCGCAGGGTTGTATCAGATTATCGCAGCCTTCCGGAGTGAATCATGGGGTCCAGGTCAAGAAGCAACAAGAGTTGCATCGGCATGTTGCTCTGGTAGCCCTTCCATTTCCAGAAGTAGCCCGAAACGCACGCGTCGGAACGCAGCCATCCTTCAGAGCAAGGTTTGTTTCGAGGTTTCAGGGTTTAGGCACCATGTAATGTAAGTTTGTGTGGTTTGTTTGAGGCCACGATCCAAGGCCCAAAGGCCAGTAGTTTTCTGCTTGTGAAGTCATGACGGAACATAATCACACGAGTGCTTACCGCAGCATAAAAAATCGAGGCAGCCATAACAATAGCATTATCAACAGTCATAGCAATGCCAGCAGCAATGTTATTCACAAAACAACAATGACAAGAAGAAGGCTTTCCCAAAGAAACCGCGCCTGTCACACAAGGTCGCCGATGGTCCGGACATCCCAGGGTCTCGCGGCAAGTTCCTTCTGTCTTGATTTCAGGGGCAAGAACTTAGGTTTGCTGACCATAGTAAGCACTAAGTATGTATATACATAGTATGGTATATGTATTTATGTGTATATATATATATACATACACACATACATTTGTGACTGAATTGTCAGGTGTGGACATTTCTCGTGACCTAATCTCAGTTTCTGAACAGCAACCCAAGATTTCTGGGCTTCCAGGGTTTTGGAAGCAGTTTGATCTTTAGTCATTGCTCGACTGCGCAGGTGTTCCAAGCTTCGTACCCCCCCTTATGCGGGGCCCTCTCCAGATAAGTGCATTCCCACCAGAGTGTGCTCCCCCACGTGCGAACTCCAGGAGAAGACAACGAAGGGCTGAGCTTGCAAGCAGGGCTCTGATCCCCGAACATTGTGTACCAACTTCCACGATGCGAAAGCTTGCGGGGTGTCAGGGCTCAGGGCCCCCGGGAGGGTGAGAGGAGTTGGGGGCTGTGGAAACCTGAGGTTCCTTTAAGGTACGACTTCAGCCCCAACCCCAAACCCTGAACCCTAAACCCTCAAGTCTAAACCCTAAACCCTAAACTCTAAACCCTAAACCCTAGACCCTTGAACCCTAAACCCTAAACCGTAAGGCAACTTACTCTGTGCCGTGACGGGCGTGGGCCTCGGCCTGCTTGTCCTCAGCGGCAATCTGCCCTTCGACTTGGATGTTGAATGGGCTTTTGAGGCTTCGGGCTTTAGGGGATCCACTAAGGTTTAGTAGGGTTTAGGGTTTAGGGTTTAGGGTTCAGGGTTCAGGGTTCAGGGTTGAGGGGGACGGGGGTTTGGGGTTTCAGTATCTTGGCTTCAAGGTTCTGTAAGGGTTTTACAATGAGGTGCCACCAAGCCTTACCAGCACCGCACTAGCAGGACTCTTGTGCTGCACGGTGTTTCTGTCCTCAAGGAAACTAAATTATGTATATCTCCATATTGTGGCAACTTCCTGGTAAGCCCTAAACCCTCAGAACCCTACACCCGCAACCCAGGATAGATCGATCGTTCCTGGGTGTTTCGCACCCGGCCGATTCCGAGACGGCGCCTGCTGGAGAGGAGCTCTCTCCGTGGAAGGCTTTGACGATCTTGAAGGACAGACGGGAGGTGTGGGGGGGGGGTGGCCCCATCTTTTTTGGTGTGGCTTGGGCTCATCTTGCCTCTCTCTCGTTCATATCATGGATTCTAATTCCACGTGTTTCTCCGTGGCTGAGGAGCACGGCCTCCTCACCGAGGCCGAGTTCGCAGCCAAGCAGGCAGCGCTTGCCTCGCCCGGCGCAGTGTCCCCGCCCCTGGACAAAGCAACTCGGGCTCCGCCACTGCGCTTGGGCACGACGCTGATCCCGGACCCACCCACCATCCCCACCCCCGAATCCACTCCGCCACACCCTGAGCCTGACTCAGCCCCGAGCCCGAGCCCAGCCCCCGTCCCCGCGATCCCACTGGATGCACCGGCACCACCTCCCATTCAGCTGAGCGCTGATGCTCTGCGGCAGCTGCCTCGGCTGCCCACACACACGAACGCCGGTCCTGGGAACAGCTTGGTGTACCGACCGCGCCTTGCCACAAGCAAGTTCTTGAGGGTGGAGGGTTCTAACACGTCGGATCAACAAGTACGTCGAGAACACACGGGCTGTCAAAGTTTAAAGCAAACCCGAAATCGCCAATGAGGCCCCCCCGTGACCCCAAGACCTTGCAAACTTCAAGAGCTTGGCGTCCATCAGGCCCAAACCCCGGACCGTCAACCCCTCAACCCCTCAACCCCTCAACCCTCAACCCCTCAACCACTCAACCCCTCAGCCCCTCAACCCCTCAACGCCCCCCAACCTCCAAGACCTCAAACTCCATCTTAGAGCCTCAACCCCCAACCCCAGACCCTCAGCGCCCAAACCCAGCGGCCACAAGAGCCCAGGCCCGAGTTTCAATCCCTGGCGGCCTTGACCACCGAAGCTTTGGAAGCCAGCCAGGCCATGGCCAGCGCCTTGGGATCAAGACTCAAGGGACCTTGGCTAGCGTGCAAGGACTTTGAGGCGCCGTGAAGGCCAAAGCCCATTCCCTAAACTTTCGGATTTAGGGCTTTCGGTTTCGGGCTTTGGGTTCAGGCTGTTGTCTCAGTCTCAACCCTGGGAGCCAGCGGTTCGAAGCCAAAGCACCCTAAGCTTAAAACCCCACAACCCTTAACACCCCTGGCCGCACCGGGCCCCCCCCCCCTTTTCAATGGGGCCATGAAGGTCAGGACTATCCGCAGCTCTATGCCATGTTCCTCCGACTTTGGAGGAACCAAACAGTCAGGCAGGTAAAAGTCCATGCAAATGCAAGCCAGAAGGCCACCCCCCACGAGACCATTTGCGCAAGAAGGCAACCTTTGGGGATTCTGTTGGGGTCCTACACCCCTTCAACCCGAAGCCCTTGAACCGATCTAGCAGGCTGCATGTCTACGGAGGCAGCATGACATACGGCGAAGGCAGGGGTTCCGTTGGGGGCTTCAGGTAAGGTCCACCGAGTCAGCATTGAGGGACAAGAGTGTACCGACAGGCCTTTGTCTCACTTCCAATGCAGCTTCAGGCGAATCATCTGTCTCCCCATGACTAGGTCAGTGGTAGGTATGGGTCAAAATTTTAATTTTGGAGTTTCAGGGATATGGAGTGCCGCAAGCCTCTGCTACCCTGCGCTTCTCCCCTGTGCCTCTGTTTGGGAGGCTGCTGCACATCCTGCCAAACCCGAAACAATCATTGAGCCTCGGCGAGCTTTTGTTGGAGTCTTGAGTCAAGGCCTTAGACCCTGCGACTAGAATCCCCAAGCGCCACATGCTGCAGACCTGTTCAAAACCCCCTTTCAGAATGTAGAAAAACCCCAGTGGCAATCCATGGTGCCAAGGCTCCTGGTCGGGGCAGTTCGCGGACTACCTCCGCTCGGCCTTCCACGGACAAGTCGAGCGGCTGTGGCCAGAGAGAGGGGGGGGGGTGGGACCCACTGGGCCGATTCGACCCGAGCTGCTGGTACTTGGGGCTTCGGACACTCGAAGGTGCACCACCAGTATTCAAAGTCGGAATGCTTGTCGAGGGCGTATGTACGGGGCTGTGAGCCTTTTGGACCCAAACTAAGTGGGGCACATATTTGGGTTTAGGGTTCAGGGTTTACGGGTTAGGCGGGCCCTAACGGCCCTCGACTCGAGAGACACAGAGCAGGGATGCGGTCGCAGATGGTGAGGTTGGACAACCGCGCACGCGGTGGCTGCGACATGGCCTGCGCGCTGCCGGACATGGTGCTGATCCTCTTCTGCCTTTGGCGAGTTCCGACAAGTTGCCATGAGAAAGGCGGTCTCTGTGTGTGTGTGTGTGTCCGAAAATGGGGGATGCCCCTGATGTGCCCAAACATGCTAGCCTTTCTCCCAAAAATCGGTACCCCCAAATATTGGGAAATCCCCACTAGGGAACCCCTCTCCGGAAAGCCGAGGAGCCAGAACACGGCCACTGAGCCAATGGATGTGATGCTGCTGGACTTCGGCCAGAACGGCTGGGGCAGCTTGCTTGAACTGGGGCTTCGGCCTCTTTGACGAGGGCTGGGAGGTGCTGACACAGGTGCAAACAGGTGCAAAGCCGATGCTGCTTGCCATTGTTTGCCGGTGTCCAAAGGATCTGGGCTAGTTGTGGAGATAGCCTCCCTAGGTGACGGATTCGCAGACAGGTGTTCCTCACGGAGGAAAGCCCCTCTGTATGCTATCGGTGCCCTAGAATATCGAATCCAGGCGACAAAGATTAGGCTGGAAGTGAGTCGCTAGGAATTTTGGGGGGTTTGAGACCTTTGCACGTCGCTTGTGAGGCATCTCTCAGACAGGCAAGGAACTGGAGGAGCTGCATGCTTGTATGCCTCAGCAAAGTCGTTGCAATGCAATCGCTGTCAGCAACGCTTGGTGATCTGTGATCTGCATGCTAATGATTGCGTTGGAAATGTGACAGGATGTTCCAGCAGCAATTACAGGTTGTTAACCCCAGCAGTTCCCGAGGAGTTTGTGCGTGCTTGCCATCTGTTCCTTCCAAAGACCTTGCTCGTGGTCTTGTGGCCGCTTGGCCAAAAACCTTCAGACTCTTGAAACCCTAAACCCCACCCCAAAAACCCCAAACCCCCCCCAAAAAACCCAAACCCCCCAAAAACCCAAACCCCCAAACCCCAAAAGCCAAAAAACACCAAAAACCCCACAAACCCCCAAACCCCCAAAACCCCGAAAAACACCCAAAACCCCCCAACCCCCCAAAACCCCCCAAACCCCCAACGCCCCCCAAACCCCGAAACCCCAAACCCTTTTCCAGTGCAGGAACCACGACATGATCAGTGGCGGAGGTGGACATACGCAGAGGCTGCTGGAAGGAATTCGTGACCTGGCAGTGGAATGTCCGGGCTGCTGCTAAGGAGCTTGTAAGTTCCCGGAGGATTTAAGGTTTTTGGTTTTGGGGTCAAGAACAACGCACCCTGAATCTGAAGCATTTAGGCTTCGGCGACGAGCCTCAACCCAAAATCCCAAGCCCCTACCTTCCCAAAACCCCAAAACTCCGATCTCTTCTCTTGAGGAACACGCCAGGGTTGTCCTTATAATAATAACCATAATCGTAGTAAAACCCTAAACCCTAAACCCTAAACCCTAAACCCTAAACCCTAAACCCTAAAACCTAAACCCTAAACCCTAAACCCTAAACGCTTAGTAGTAATGACAGTAATACGAATAGTAGCAAGAATAAATAATAGGAAGTATTACTATAATAGTTATTCTTATTCTCGTAGCACGATTCCCGAGGCTCCCTGGGCCAGCATTACGGCGTGCCCGTCTTGAGTTACGAGGCGGTCCTCGACCTGCCCCGCGCGCTGCAAATTGGGCGGGGGGCTGGGGTGGGGGAGGGTGGATTTCGCAGGTTTTGCGGGTTTTCTCAATGTTTTTCAGGAACTGCTATGGGCATTTTCGGAAGGACGCACTTTTCCTGGGTTTTCAATGCGCCCGAAACCCCAGCTTCGGATTGGTTCCGTCAAGTTTTCCAGGTTTCCGACAGGGGCAGAGTGAATCCACAATTGTTGTTTGTGACTTTTATGATGAGGGGTGGAGTTTTGGGCATCTTACATGTGTTCGCCGATTAACTCGTTGTTGCTCATGGACACGCTTTCTTGTTGCTGCAAGACAGACCAGGTATGCCAAAGAGGCTCGAAATGTGGAGGAGACCGCGCCGACAGCCCTAAGCCCTAAGCCCTAAGCCCTAAGCCCTAAGCCCTAAGCCCTAAGCCCTAAGCCCTAAGCCCTAAGCCCTAAGCCCTAAGCCCTAAGCCCTAAGCCCGAAGCCCTAAGCCCTAAACCCGAAGCCCTAAGCCCTAAGCCCTAAGCCCGAAGTGTTAAGCCCTCAACCCTCAAGCAGAAATCCTCAGCATCCACGAGCCCCAGGAGCTGTGGCCGGGCTGGAAGACCCGCCACCCCACCTGGCAGGCATCGGGTTTTGTTGCTTTTTTTGAGCCCTTGAGTTCTTGCGGGGGTTTCGGGCGGGGGCTTCGGCTGAGTGCCTTTGTGTATCAGAAGCCGTCTACATGATGCTGACGCGGATCGGCGGAGGCCCATGCGTACTACGCCGACATCCTTGCTTACTGGTGTGGCTGGTCTACAGAAAACAGAATTGACAGGAAGTGACAAGTAACTAAGGGCCATTTGTGAGGCAGCTCTTCGAACGTGTCTCATACCCCTAAGGCAACAAGCAGTTGGAGAAGCTGGAGAGACTTCCGGAAGAGGACTGCACCGTATTCCCCAAACCCAGATTGCAGGAGTATAAGCCCCCTGAACCCTAAACCCTAAGCCCTAAGCCCTAAACCCAAAACCCTAAACCCTAAACCCTAAACCCTAAGCCCTCAAGAGCCTGTGGAGTTGTGGTTTAGGGTTTAGGGTTTACAGTAGGGTTTAGTGCGTTTAGGGTTTAGAGGGTTTAGGGCTATCAACAGATTCTTTGGGTGGCGGCTTGTGAAGCCAACATACTTCAGGCCTGAGATTCTTGGAGGCTACCCCTTGGCAGATAGGCCCCTTGACACACATCTGCGCATTCGACCTCGGGTGCGGTGCGGGAGGACATGCCTTTGAGCCCTGGGGCCTTAAATCTTGTGACCCGGCTCCCTATGCTTTACGATATTCATCCCGAGTATGGTAACTTAATCTTCGGTCCCTCGTCCTACGCCCGAAGCTTGAACCCTGAGCCCGAAACCCCTTGAGAACCCGGTTAGGAGACAGCGCGGCTCCTTGACCCGGAGTTCCTTCCCCAACTTCGGCCCCTTGGAGTGGTTTTGGAGAGTGGGGGAGAAGGACCTTGGGCGTTGAGGTGGAGTAGCGGAAGCCTCGGCTGGCTCTTACCTGTTTTTCCCCGCCTTCGGTGTGGGGTTGTTAGATTTTCAACTCAATTCTTCTCCTCGCCCGGAACTCTTCTCCTCGCCCGGTCTACTCTTAGAGACTCCCTGGAGTGCCCAACCCCAGAAGCTCCTTGGAGTGCCCAACTCAGAAACTCCATAGAGTGCCCTGGAGTGCCCAAGCCCAGAGACCCTGGAGTGCCAGACTCCGTGCCCAGCCCAGAGACTCGATTTCCCTGGAGTGCCCAACCCCACAGTCTCCCTGGAGTGCCCAACCCCAGCAGCGGCTCCCTGGAGTGCCCAAATCCAAATCCCCAAGGTGGGGATGTTCGAAGTACAATAATCTTTTGTGAGCCGCAGTGTCGGGGCTGTTTTGCACGTTGCGCTTCGCCCGAATCAGCCCCTGTGCTAGGTTCGGGGGTTTGGAGATGAGGGCCCTGGCTGTTGACGGGCCTAGTCGGGGCATGGAGGAAGCCGATTGTTGATTGTGCTGAGGAGGCCTTCGCCGGATCTCCAGGCCGGAGCTGGGATTTTGGGATTCTGGGATTCTGAGTTAGCCAAGATTGGAATGGCGAAGCTAGCTACCGCACATGCATTTTCACACGTCAAGCGCAGCTTCGCGAAGAAACCCCTGAAATGTACCCTGTAGTGTTCCCTAAACTCCAAACCTCAACGTGGGGAGGCCAGGCGCCTCAGCCGATTTCCTCAAACCTGTCCCACAAAACCCAGAACAGCTGGGGCAGCTGCCCCGCAGGACGACCGCGGGTGGATCAAGCCCATTCTCAAGGCGGACCTCGTTGCTTTGCAGCAATTTCAGCTCAGAGCGACACCGCCCGATGTAACTATCATCTTGGCATGGTTGCTGACTCTTGGCACTTTGCAAACTTTCAATGCTGCCACAAACGGCCCTGTTTCAGAGCTGAGTCACAATGTGCGCCAAGGAGACCGCCCCAGTCTGCCTGTTTCCTTTGACGCAGCACGTCGCGAGATCTCCGGGCCCAGGTGCAACTTCGGCATTTGGAGTTCCAAAGAGCCGAGAGCCCATAGCGTAACCGAAGGTAACTCAAGCCATCCTAGGTCCTTGGGTTTCTGTTTAGGGTTTAGGGTTTAGGGCTTAGGGTTTAGGGTTTAGGGTTTAGGGTTTGGGGTTTAGGGTTTAGGGCTCCTTCCGGAAGTTCGTGATGCCCCCGGCATGTAGGGCGTAGATGGAATGCTGCTTGACCTGCTTGCAAGGGGGTGCGCAGTCAAGTCCCTGCAAGATGCTGCGCGGCTCCGCGGCCCAAAAAGATCCCTCAACTTTTGCACCGCAACCTTCCTTAAACCCGAAGGCAAGACGCGATAACCTTGCACCCTATCTCCGAAACCCTAAACCCTAAACCCTAAACCCTAAACCCTAAACCCTAAACCCTAAACCCTAAACCCTAAACCCTAAACCCTAAACTCCAAACCCCCAAACCCAAAAGGCACGCCTCGGCAGAGTCCTCGGGGCGAGTGGAGCCTCTTTGAGGACCGGCGGAACAAGCCAGGCTCGATGTTTCTCCCTATGTTGGCTTCTTTGGGTTTAGGGTTTGGGGTTTAGGGTTTGGGGTTTAGGGTTTAGGGTTCTAGGGTTTCGGGATGCTTAGGGTCAATATGCTGAGGGTTTGAGGATGCGTGGAGTACTGGCAGATAATGCTGCGCTTGATTCTGCTACTCAACCCTGGAAAGCAGGGCCTCGGACTTGGCAAAAGAGCCCCTGGGCATTTTGGGTCCAAAGCGCCTTTCCAATCCAGAGCTGCTGTCGTTCTGCAACGTGAACAGCGGCGGCCGGAAAAAATCGCGGACGCCATCCAAAACCTTAAGCCTTGACCCCAACGAAGCCGAAGCCCTAAACCTTAAACCCTGAACCTTAAACCCTAAACCCTAAATCCTAAACCCTAAACCCTAAACCCTTATAAATCACACCAGGCTGGATCTCCAACACCTCGAACGGTGAGGAGCTCGTCTTCGACCTGAAGTTCAGCGAGAAGCCCATGCGCCCCGGCTTAGAATCGCAGGGTCGCCTTGAGATCTTTGAATCCGGGCTCTGAAATCTCAGGTTTAGGGTTTAGGGTTTAGGGTTTAGGGTTTAGGGTTTTAGGGTTTAGGGTTTAGGGTTTTCGGGATACTCCACCTAAACCTTTATACATCTCTAAAACCCTCAGCCTCGGAGAGTTCCGATGATGCCCGGGGCCCTCCCAGGATCATGATCCAGTACCTCCGCTCGTACACGAACATCGGGGAGGCGAACGTGACCGTCCGTAGCCCCTGGATCTGGAAGTCCACGATGTTCAAGAACCTCCGAGGCCCAGACGTGGTTCAGGGTTCAGGGTTGAGGGTTGAGGGTTTGGGGTTTCTGGTTTGGGGTTTGGGGTTCAGGGTTAGGATTTAGGGTTTGCGGTTTGGGGTTTCGTAAACTCCCACAAGAGCCCGTGCCAACTTGTGTTCAGTCGGACATGAAGAAAGCAGAGAGAGTTGGGGCCCACCACCTTTCCGAAACTTGCAGGCTATCGCTGGCGTCACTTGGCACGCATGACTGGACGTCGGGAGCATGGGAACAATCATGAACAGCCAGTATGCTTCGGCGTAGATTGGATTGTTGAACGAGATTTTTATCCCACATCGACTCTTAAATAATGAAAGTGAGCTGCTGGCAGCTAGATTGAGTTCCGGTTCAGAGGCTTCTCGGTTTCATGACCGCGGCCCTTG